TCTCTTGGAGACGCTGACATGGCAAATGGTGTACCGGCTTCCTCACATATTATAAAAATTGGATTTCTTTACGACCACGTATGATTTATTAGTTTTCTTAATTCGAAAGGCAAAGATGACAAATTTAATTTTTACAGGCTGAAGAAAGTTTGGAGAAATACATGAATACTTTTGATATTGTGTTGATTGATGACCAAACAATGAATGTACCATTAGCATTGTTGGAGGCTGTGGAAAAAAAGGAAGCCGTTCGCAACATTTAGACGACGTTTGCATGCAAGCATAAAACATAAAGGTTGATATTTAAAATATATAGTAACGAGAGATCCCTCTAGGTATCTGATTCAAATTATTGCAATTTTATTCATTATTTATTTTTATATAAATAATGAAAATAAAAAGTTAGTCTGCATATTTTCCCCATAATTTTTACTCTGCAAGTTCTTTCGAGAGAGCAATACAATTCTTATTCATAATTCCAAAGAAAGAATAGCCTAATGCGAGTTGAGACTCAACCTGAGTAGCCGAAGTTCTTTAATGCAATGTGAGGTGAACGTATAGGTGCTCTTCAATTCGCCACATCACACTCTATGTGATACGAAAATTTGTCGTTAAAATAAATTCAGAATTTCTTCCGATTAGTTACGGTTGATATATTATACGAGACTAAGCTTTTATCGTTTATTCTCCCAGGGTTCGAGTGTGATTTTACCGTTCCACACACTTCAGATATTGTAGTACTATTTTTTTTGTGCTTCTGTACCAAACCGGTTGACCTCCAATATCAGCAATAGCAAGCGGCTGCGCCTGTGACGACGGCTTGGAAACTCTTTTCTGCTAGACAAAGAACAGGGGGATATCAGAAGCGTCATTTGGTGAAATCTCTGAATTCAGTTCAGTGAGGTTTTCTGTGGCAAAGGAAGGTGTAGCATTCAGAAATTATGAAGCCGGAAGATCTGCATTAAGAGACAATTATGAGGAAAAGGTTTGACCAAAGAAAAATGACGGGTGGCCACCTTTAGTCATTTATCACACCAACTAACCTGTGGTAAAGACATCCTTTAACCTTAGGGTTAATTCAGAGGAACTGTGACACTCTCCACTTATTCGGGTAGGGGCATTCCCATTTGCTGTGCAGTTTGTGGTGCAATAAATCTTCTTTCTTCTTGGTAATTATTTAGCACGGAATGCCACTAGCGGTGGTGGGCATTGAAATCGCTTAGTACTAAGCACTTATTTGGAAGTCAGTTATTGTTTTTCAAAATCCACAAATCATGCGGTTCATAAAAATTAATCTGCCGGATATACGTCTTAGCAAGTCTACTTTGGCAGTTCCATACTTGACCGTTAGCGGTGGTGGGCATTAAAATCTCTTAGTACTAAGCACTTATTTGGAAGTCAGTTATTGTTTTTCAAAATCCACAAATCATGCGGTTCATAAAAATTAATCTGTTTTTGTCATAGGAGTTGCTTTTAAAAAACTTCTGGGAGAACATCCCCTGACAAAAAACAAGGGAACTGACAAAGGGCGGAGACTTTTTCCAAAACTATGGTATTCCCTATCTTACCCTTGGTAATCATTGCTATTTTTCTCTACTAATAAAACCAAAATGGTATTAAGCTAACTACGTTTTCATAACAAATAAAAAAAGGAGAAAAACAAGATATAGGCATCAAATTTATCTTTAAAGACGTACATCCCATCATTATCTATAAGTTTCCTAAAAACCTCTAATGGCTAAACAAATTTGTAATTATAACGTTGGATTTTCAAAAATGTGCGAAAAATTAAAGTACTAAATACTAATACAATTACCCAATGTACTTTCAGCGATTAAAACATGTAATACTCTTTTAAACACACATTTCGTCTCATGAAAACGTGCTGATTTTAGTCTTCAAAAATAATCGACTGTCTGTGCTGACTACTAATACACATATCCTATCATTATTTCCAAATGGAAAAACAAGGTATAGGCATAAAATTTATCTATAAAGACGTACATTCCATCATCATCCATAAGTTTCCTATAAGCATCTAATGGCCAAGCAAAATTGTAATTAAATTGTTGGAATTACAAAGACAAGCGAATAATAAAAGTTCTGACTACTAACACATTTACCCAATTTACTTTTAGCGATTAAAACATGTAATACTTTTTTAAACATACATTTAGTCCCAGGAAAACGTGCTGATTTAAGTTTTCAAAAATAATTGACTGCCTGTGCTGACTACAAGCACATTTATCCAATTTCCTTTCAACGCTTAAAAAAAATTTAATATTATTTTAAACGTGCATTCAATCTCATGGAAACGGTTGATTTCAACTTTCAAAAACAATTGACTGTCTGTGTTGCCTGCGTTGTATTACTGTTGAAATTAAGCCATTCGAAATTGTTCTAAAGAGCAGTGTCGTTATCCAAATACGTCGGGCGTACAAAATTTTAAAGTTGAACATTTAGAACTTTGACAATTGAATCGGTTATTTTCTTGTGTGAATGATATGATGAGATGAATGATACAAAAAATGTAAATGTTTGGAATTGAAAAAAATATAACAATTGTATAATTTTTAAAACTATCAATTTTTACAATGTTATAAGTCAGTAGATCTTAAGATATGAACCTGTAGTAACATTTTACTATAGTTGGGAGTTTTCATTTCATTTCCTTTATTTCATACAATTCAATATAAATAAGCCAACATGGCCAAAATCTTATATTATCATATAACAGTATAAAAACAGCCCATAACCAAATCAATCTAAAAAAAACTAAATAAATAACAAAAATTATCAACGAATAGTAATATATATACAAAAAAAAAGAACAATAATTTAAATTTAGTAGCAATTTAGTAATTAGATACAACTCCTCTACCAAGCTGAACAACAGTTTAGCAAGGTAGAGAGGAAAAAGACATGACACATCAATACACTTAAGCGCTAATCATCACTCGTTTCCAACCGAGCGAATGTAGCTACCGCAAGTATAGCAAAAAAAATCCTTAAAAAGAGAAAAAAAACAATAAAATTATGTACTACATGGAAAATAAACAACCATAAAAATGGCCCCCCCAGCAAATAACTAAAAAGAAATAACAAAAAATAACCCGCAACCAGAAACTCAATGAACAGACAAATATTCAAAACACCTCTTCTTGTACATATCAAAAGAACAGGTAAAATTACGCAGGGTCAGAGGAAGCTGATTCCACAATCTCGCAACTCTCACATCAAACGCCTTCTCACCAACTACAGACGAGAAGTTGGAGTTGAATATTTATGTACGCTACGTCGAATTTTGGGTAACGTTATAGAAAAATATCTAAAATTGATTTGCGAACTTTAAAACCATTATGCATATTCTGTAACATTTAACTACCCTTGTTGTTGTTTATTTAATAACTAGCTTTTGTTGTTTGCAGTTACGATGCTGCTATTCTGCAGAAATTTGGACAAACTGTCGATAAACTTTCAAAAGCGTTCAAGTTTCAAATATTTTAAAACTAAAACTGCATACAAAATGCAAGGCAAATCCAATATTGAACATTTTTGTCGATACATTAACAACTACAATCTTTGTGTTCTTCTTATAAGGACGACAAAACAATAGTTGATAACACTAGTAAAAAATTGCAATTGTGTTAATTTTGTCATAAAAGGGAAATACTGGGTAAAATAAATAATTTAATGGCAACGGGGCGGAAACTGCAACTTATATATCATACAGAAACGTGAAAAATTAAAGAAAAAATAATAACAAAAGTACAAAAACTACAATATACAATGATACATGCTGACTTCAACTTAACGATTTACCACACCAACAACTACAACTTCAGGGAAATGCAATAAATTAGGCGCTATCAGCATACGGTTAACACGGAGAGAACAATTCCCAAATGTAAAATTTTTTAAGTGATGTTAACCTTGAATATAATAAATTAAAATGCAACTTGAACGACCAATTTATATCAGTTAGTACACTCACATAGTTCATCTTACTTACAACATCTGTAAAGCTTTTACAGATATCAAACCATCGGGTATACTTCCAAAATACATTGCCTTAATTTTATTCGAATTAAGACTTAAACCATTATCGGACAGGATGTTCAGTCTAAAAACATACTAGATTTTATAGCGTTCTGTAATAAATATAGCAGCACAAATCAACGTCGTCCGCAAGCGAGAAAGCAAACAACGTCTACTAGCTACACATCTAAAATATACATGATAAATACCTCTACCAATATTTTCTGGAGCAGTTTACAATTTTATAGGAAAATATCAAATTAAGGAAGGCATTATCTGCAATCTCTAAATTATTATCACACATGACAACAATTTGTCACGAAGCTTTGAGAAGCGATAGGTTGAACACTATAATAATATGCAAAATCCTCCTCCATCATATTAATCAACTTAAGACCCGGTAACAATAACAACTAAGAAAACATCTGTAAAGCTTTTACAGATATCAAACCATCGGGTATACTTCCAAAATACATTGCCTTAATTTTATTCGAATTAAGACTTAAACCATTATCGGACAGGATGTTCAGTCTAAAAACATACTAGATTTTATAGCGTTCTGTAATAAATATAGCAGCACAAATCAACGTCGTCCGCAAGCGAGAAAGCAAACTACGTCTACTAGCTACACATCTAAAATATACATGATAAATACCTCTACCAATATTTTCTGGAGCAGTTTACAATTTTATAGGAAAATATCAAATTAAGGAAGGCATTATCTGCAATCTCTAAATTATTATCACACATGACAACAATTTGTCACGAAGCTTTGAGAAGCGATAGGTTGAACACTATAATAATATGCAAAATCCTCCTCCATCATATTAATCAACTTAAGACCCGGTAACAATAACAACTAAGAAAATATCTTTTCACATCTCTCTGCTTTTCTTTTGAGGTACCATAAAATTCTGCCAGACGTTTTCAAAACGACAAATAAATACATACAAAATGAAACATATGTTTTCATTATAGTGATTTTTATTAATATATTTCGGAAAATATACATTAATAAACAAATTTGGAATGGATAGACAACACAATTTATAAATTTGAGTAGGTCCTTAACATAAACAAAATATTCTAAGATACCACGGCACACTACCTTATCCTACATTTTAACTATTTTTTTAATGTAGGTTCAGTTAAATTCAACAGTGTTGAAAATGTGCTATAAGGATTTCAAATAATAATGTAAAATTTGAGTTATGTCCTTCTATTAGTGGACTAATATAAATAATTTTTAATTATGTCATATTTCTCTTCGACCTTTATAATTTTTATAATGCAAGTATAAATGTTATATATGTATATATATGCTAGTTTTTACGTTACTGAACACACGTTTATGTCACATAACATGTGTTTTATTAAACATATTATTTTTCAAAATATGCTTTTGTTAACATATTTTTATTTTGCTTTTGCATTTTTTATCGTACAAAAAAGTATACTTTTAAAAAGCTTAATTTTTGTTACTAAGTGGAAATAGTTTTCATTTATTCATTCTTAATGTTAACATTCATATTTAATAAGATCGAAATGGAAAAGGCCTTCCCCAGTATATATGCATTTTACAAAATTTCTGCAATAAGAACAAATGCATAAGAGTTTAAATAAACATTTTCAACACATCATCGGACATATTAAGTACAAATATGTTAGTATATACGGTGGTGGCGATAATATAAATGCGAATATTAGCTTACCCAAGAATTTTGATAAGAATACTGCTACTACAAGTTCTTGTTACAATTGGGAAAATGCTGGCTCTGTTTCAAAAAAATATATATAATCTGAGCAAGGGATATCAAATTATAGTCATTTGTTATACATAGATCGTTTGATCTCAAACGTTCAATTGATAAAATAGGATATAAGCGGACTGTTATTAAGTTTGTTACAATGATGCCATATTGGGAATAAAAAAGGGGTTGAAAATGTCTTAGCTATTGAATATCAAAAAGAAGTTATTCATTGTCCTTCTTAAAAAGTTATAAACTGAAAGTAAAAATGTTGCAATATTAAATTATTATTAAACATAGAGTAGTCGTTTATAGAAGTTTTTGGAACCATCCATGGTCCTACGGGCTAGTAAATTAAAAATTACAAATTAAAAAAAAATATTGTCGCGATTTATGATTCCGGGCATTCTAATTTTTTGGAGGACTTTGGAATTTGCTTATTTATTACTTTATATATCCTTTTAAGTATATGCCTAAATGTATATCTTAAAAATGAGTAATGACACAGGTTGCAAGTCAATTAAAAAATTGATGAACATTTGTAAAGATTGTGATTTCTACGCTTCTTCTTCTCCGAAAATTTTTAAGTATTGCATGGAAAACAGATTAAATTAAGGGGAACATCCGATTTACGTTTCTTTTTTATTGCTTGGATGGATTAATACGATCCATACCAACTCTTATCCATTTAGTTTTATTACCTAAATTTTATAAATTTATCGTATATATATTTTTTTTTTTTTTGATTCGGCCGAGCCTTAGCAAATTGGAGATAGCACCCATAATAGATTATTGAATTGTTAAAACCAGACTCCCGATTTTCCTAATGCTAATCTAGCGCTACATACAAATGTATTATTTATGTGGCGGACGATGTCTTATACCCCGATATTCAAGCGAAATGGTTATTATATGGGAAAATCACCTGCCTTTCATTGAATATTAGAGGATTTGATTGCCATTTGATTACATCTATTCACTATCGGTATTTAGACCAACTCGTTTCTCTTCCTCCAGCATGGCATCTAACTCATCAGTAAGATTTGCCAACATATTGCCGATATCGTTAAGTACATTCACAGAAACTTTCGAACCTTTTGATGTTGAGGACGAAATATTTTTAGCATCACTGCCACAGGCACTAGAGTTTGTTATGGCACTTGCTTCTACAGGACTACCCGCACTGATTTCGTTGGCATTGAAATTTTCCACTACTGCAAGCGACGGTACACTATCGGCTTGACTCGGGGCATACTGCAAAGTTGGCGATCGGAGAAGGGTAAGGCCAACACTGCCTCCACTGGCTGTACTACCGATGCTATCACTTCTTATCAATGATGCCTCATGTAGAGAGGACGACGATTTCAAAGAGTGGAATGAATGGGTTATATTACCTATAGTGTTTGTGGAGGACGATGACGATGATGATGAAGAAGAGTGCAAGTGGCTACTAGGAGTTGGCTGTGATACAGTATTGGATGCATTTGCAGTAAGTTCTTGTCTATTTAGTAAACGCTGCTTTATAGTGCCAGTATTTTCATTCGCAAATGGTATTGTGTCAATTGAGTCTATACTAGAGTTGGACTAGAAAAGGCGACATCGGTTATATAAAACAGTTGGTTCCCGACTATAAAAAAAATATTAACCTACCTTATTATCATGTGTTTTTTCGCAATGAATTTCTGCTGTAGTTTGCTGTATTGTTGCATAATTTGCATAAATTGGTTGAGATGCTTGTTGTTGCAAATATGCAGAATGAGAATGAATATTTGATGCTGAGTTCGGTGCTCCCATAGATCCATAATACATGTTTGTCGTAAGACCATGACCAGCAGTGTTCGAAACTGCATTTAAATGCGATGCATCTTGACTTATTGTACATGAGTTGCGCATACTACAGTGACGTCTTGGAGGTTCGGGAGCTATTTTTTTGCCGGTCATTGGGCTGCCCGATATATAATGCTAAATATAAACGAACGAAAGACGATAGCTTAAAAAAATGATTTAAAAATCATGTTCATCAACATTCAACTTACATTGTTTAAATTTGAGCTCTCTATTACTTTAGCAGATGATACATTTCCAGTTGGAACATTTGCACTTGGGCCAACTAGCCCAGCAGCATTGCACACATATTCTGCCGCAGCAGCATTCATATAGTGGTGATGTTCCAGGGGAGGCATGGTATTTAAAACAGCACGCTGAAGGATACCACGCTGTTGTCGGGGCAACGTACCACCGCCGTCTTCATACATGAGTTCACGGGTAGCAGCATCATTTGTAGGTGTTATGTCACCGTCATCATAAGAACGGCGCCAATTCTAAATACAAAATACACATTAACACAATAATTGATATGGCAATTTTAATTACCATTGTGTTTGGATTGCTTAAGATTCGATGAAGGCCACCTACCGTTGATCCCGCGCCTCCTACCAAAGAAACTTGCTGCAAATGATGTTGTGGATGCTGCTGCAGTGCTTGCTGTTGCTGAATTTGGGATGGGTGTGCAAAATGACCATAATCCGTGGTTGTGTAATGACTGAATGTCAAATGGCTTCGAGTGCTGTTATCATGTATGTCTTCAAGAGATTCTAGACTTTTACCACGCGGTTGACGAACCTGACCAAACATATGGATTTCTATTATTCAAACTTTTTTAATGAAGACGTTAAAAAATTTAAAGATAAAATACAATATACCATACACATATCAAAACCAAAAAAAAAAAAAAATTAAATAAATAAAAAAACAGATTCACATTTATCGTAAGCAATAAAAATGGAAAACAAAATACTATATACATATCAAAATACTGAAAGCATTCTTCCGTTTCTCGGCGTTGAACGAAAGTTCTTGTTTTGTGAGAAGTGGTTCGAGCAAAGGGCAAATAAACGAAACTGGCTCGAGCAAAGTACAAATTAATGAAACTATATGCGTTTTATACAAATTCTTTTTGGTCTATAATTTTCATTGAATAATGAGGATATAAAAAGTAACAGTTGTTAAAAACTTCCAGATTTACCCTGCCTTATTTACGATATTCTTCAATGACATATTGCATTAATTCCTTTACACGAATGTTTGATGTGTATCGAAATAAACACACTAAGATACATTTAATTACCTTTATTAATACAATATCATTGTCATTGCAACACTCTTCACTATTGCTAAAGCAGGAATGTGTGTATGGCAATGCAGAAGCATTGGCGTAAACTTTAGAATCGTCCCATGAAACACGGACGGTGGGTAAATAAGTAGGGGTGGGTGGTAAATGCTGCCAAGGTTTGGCACAAATCTAAATAAATGAACAAAAACAAAATATATTAAAAAAAAAATAAAATTGAACTAAAATTATTTAATGAAATGAACACAAATATATAAACAGAAAAAAATTTAAAAAAAAACAAAAAAATGTAATTACTTGTTGGTTATAGATGTTTGATCCACCGGGATTCCATTTTCCGCTTATTATATCCTTTACACGTTTTATTGCAAGCAAAATTTTCTTTTGATGTCCGAGCTTAACAATGCCAATATCTTCTAAATCTTCCCATGTAACTTGAGTAACTTCCCGGACAGTTTTATAATTTTGATCCAATAAAGGCTGTAAGTACTCCTCCAAGCGGAGTAGTTGTAGCCATTCTTCGATAGAACCCTAAGAATATTAATAGTTGAATCAGTTTATTTTACGACAAACACCGTTTATAAAGCGGCATTTTTTTACAAATTCACCGAATTAACTCACCGGGACGAAATGTGGTAAGTTATCCAAAACTTGCAGTTTATCGATTCGCTGTTTGATACGCTCACGATGATGCGGGTTCTTAATACCAATGGCAGTCAAATCCTCCGGAGTCATACGAGCAATTGTCGGCAAATCATAACCAGCCGTAATGAACAGTTGTGCATACTCTTCGTATTTCATTTCCATTAGCCAATCTACAATCAACTCTTCGTTACGTTGTCGGTCCATAGAACCAATCGAACAAGAACTTAATGAGCTACATCGTGGGGACGAGAGTGCTCCCCCTCCACTACTACTACGTGTCGAACCTGCTACAGAAGCTCCTGTCAAATATGACGATGCTCGACCTGAATCTAGGCTAGCTGTTGAATGGCGCGATCCAGAACCTGCTGAACCCGATGAAGAGCCAGGAGAATCTCGACCCGGCGATTGTGTTAGATCTATTCCCTGGTCCTCTTGCAGAGCCAGCTGCTGGTGGTAATAAACGGCCGCTTTGTGTGTTAACGGTTCTCGCAAAGTAGCACAGAATACTGGTGGGACACCGGATATTAAGGGATTTGTGTTAACCAAAGGCTGTACACCTTTAGCACCCGTAGTATTGGGTGTGGCTGTTTGTGAAGACCCCGAAGATGACATAGCGGTTGAATATTCTCCAATTTCGTCTGTAAGAAAAAAAAAACAAATTATTGGAATGCTAGTGGAACAAAATTAGCTCACCTTTTATTCGTAATGCTACTGTCGGTTCCCGAGGCAAATTGAAGCCGCCTTCCTCGAGCGATGGCGAGGACACCATACTACTCATTATAATGCCATCCTCCAATTGCACTTTACAAGCAGCATTAGGTGCACTTCCTGCTAAACGATATAGTCCGACTTGTTGTTGGAATGCTGAATTTGTATGAATAGGATCTCCTGGAAGAGCTGGTGGAGCGACTTTCGTAATCTTTTTAGCTTGTGTATGTGGCTTCAGTGAACGATGCATGATCGCAGCTACCACCAATGTATACAGGATTCTTTTGTAAATTGTAAATTAAAAAATTGCTGCTATCCCGTAAATGACGCTTTATTGAAAAAAATTTGGATTAGTATTTTTTAATTTTATTTTTATTTGATTTTATCAATTTGGATGTGCATTTGGACAATGTGCATCAGGACTTTAAAATAAATTAAAGAAATCGTTTTTCAAATTTCATTTCTTATTGAACTATAACAAATAGCGGAGAGCTGTTGTGGAGTGTACTATCAAAACTTAGACATTGATGTACACGAAGAAAAAAATTTAAATGTTTGAAAGAAGTTTTTGATTAAATATTCTTTATTGTTGGAAAGTTCTAAGAAAGTCTAAAGAATTATATTATATTAAAACTTAAACCTAAATTAATAAGGATGATTTTTTAACATTCAATAAATTTTAAATTGTAACATTTGACAACAGTTAACATAGCCCTGCTGTTAGCATTAATAAAGCTACACAAAATGTTTTTTTATATAAACTAAAAGAATATTTAATATGAACTATCAGTCTATACACACCTAATAACCCACTGTGCTTTTCATTACAATTCCTCCGCTCCAATACGGGAAACAATGGAAACCTTTTGAAAAGTACTATTCAGATTCCGTGGAATTTGATCTCTCTGAAGGAAAAGTTAATCCTATTTGCTACTATGCTTCCCCTTTAAATTCTTCCATTTCAACATGGGTACCCGCATGAAAAGCTTATGAAGATTACCATATAGGGTAAGTGGCCTAAGTTCAGCATGTCCCAGTAGTCGGCAGTTTTGAAATTTAAACTTATATATCTAAGAATAGAATTGACCAAATTATGACATAATTGCAAAAAAACGTCAACTATGTTCTTTGCTCTCTTTCTGTAAAAAAAAACAAGGAGCTTCGATCATTTATTACGAGAGAATAACGGTTTTTGTCAGTGAGTGTCTTCCAACACATTCGATAGTGTTGTGGTCAATTTAGTAATCGATGTAAGTACACTATATTTAATGCATTTGGAATCAGATGTATTTTATAATGGTAAATAACAGTCCAAAGATCATTTTATAACTTAAAAAAATAGAAAAATATCATTTTTGACCAATTTCACCAAAATTTTAGAAAAGTATAAAAAAATAATCCAAAAACTACTCAAATAAAAAAATAGTTTTGAGTCGGCACTTGCCGTTATTTGTGCTTTTTGACAAACTTTTCTAAACTTTTTCTAGGTTTTTTAAACCAGCTATTTGACGTTTTGGATAAGCGGGTGCATTTTTTAAAAAAATGTTGGCAGTCTAAAGGAAAAAGATCAATTCATAAATATACGGCAAAAAGAGGAAAGAAACTTAGGATGTGATACCTCGTCGATATGATGAAATCGTTGAACTATTGTTTATATGCGAAGCATGTTAAAATTAATAAGTTAAACATCAATTAAAAAAACTCCTTAGTGAAGACTGACAACTATGCACTTATGAATTACCTGATTTTATTCATTATGCTTTAGTTCAAGTTAAAACAAAATGAATTAAAAACAGTACCTAGCTTAAAAGCCTAATTAAATAAAACACTATTTAAATGCAAAATTTTTTTTTTAAATTCTGGATCAAACTGTGAATTAGTGATATAGAATTGTTTTATACTATTTAAAATAAAAAGAATATACAAAATAATATCTTCTTTACTGAAATACAATATGCCGACTACTGGCAAATAGACATGCCGAGCATTGGAAAATGGTGCCGACTACTGGCAAAAAACCACTATTTTAGTAAAATTGCAAATTTTGCCAATTTAATAAAAACAAATCCAATTTTTGTTTATTATTTCGAAAACTAAACTAAATTTGGAATCTGAACAACTTTACATTTCTGCAATTGAAAGGTTTCACTCAGAATGTTGAAAGATTGAAAATCCTAAAAGTGCCGACTACTGGCGCACTTACCCAGTACACATTTTAAAAAGGATAAGAAGTTTGACCAGATTTCGAGGTATATGGCTATTCCTGGGTAAATGCTTTCAAAGGGATAACTCCATTGGCTATCCATTTATACACATACTACACTTGGAGAAGTATTCCTCCAGAAATAACGAATACATTGGAATCCGGTCATTTGTTCTACCCTGCCCAATGAATAGTGCTCTTACAATGCAATAAACCTCAACTTCGGCAATAGGAAATTTTTAATAATATATTTATTTAATGCAATAAAACTCAAATTCGGGAATGACATATATGTATATATATATATATGTATATATATATATATATATATATATATATATATATATATATATATATATATATATATATATATATATATATATATATATATATATATATATATATTAATATTCTTTTTAATCTGTTCCATCCAAACAGAAGAATGCATTTCCAACTTTAACGCATTTAAAGTTGACTGACATTTAATGAAAACTAGGAGGGCCTACCTACATAAACAACTAAAATCGTTCCACATTCAAATCTTTTAAGAGTTCATTTAACACGAATGTGTACCACGCACACAAATCAGTTACATGCCATCACAACTGGTGTATGTCGCCCTGCCGCATCAGCCAACAACAGCTCCAACATGAATTTCTATGAGGTATGCCTCCGTTCTCTTCAAGTAATAAATCTCTCTTAGATACCGAAAGAAAGTACGGAAATGTATAGAATTGCGATTAATGAAAAACTTTTTAAATACATACAAATATATTGTTCGAAACAAAAACTACTTTCTTAGTATGCGCCCAGTTCACCGTAGTAGGGCTAGGCTAATAAAAACCATAGTACGGCGTATATATATCCTATTAGAAATTACCATGTTTTTCGTATACACAATTAATGCACGCATTTTCTTGGCCATAGTAGTAGATGGTCGCGGTGTTTTTTTTTTTTTTTTTTATTTCATTTACTTGTCTCGGCTAAATGTTTTTCTATTATCTTTATTTGGTTCAAGTTGATTTTTAATGTTAAATTCACATATTTTTCATTCAGCAAAAACTTGTATGAGCTGTTTTTCAACTTCTAACACACACACACACACAGCTTTTAAATAAATAAGAAGCAACTCCCGACAACCAGCAACGATGTCGGATGACCGCGAAGGAGCAACGGTTATTGAGCGCAGTACACATTGAAATCAAAGTCACACAATAACTTCAGTCGGCAAAAAAGCTTTACGCTACGCTCTATATTCGAGAGCACCAAGAGAAAAGAATTGTTCTCACACGTATGTGTTAGTATGTTTTTGATTCCCCATTGTTGCCATTATTTTATTGTAAAAGGAAAACGGGATTAAACACCGGGTACAATAATGAAAGAGAAATTCTTAAGAGAATTTAAAAATGACCTTCGCATAGAAATTCTAATTATATAATAATTAAAAATAAGTAAAAAAAAACATTGAGTTCGGCCGGGCCGAACTTTTTATGCCCTTCACCTTAGGGCAAAGGAAACATTAGAACCCACTATGACCCACAAATACCAATTTTTAGACAAAAATCATCAAAATACCCAATATCGGGAGGTACCGTTAAATGGGAACTATACCAAAACGTGGACCGATATATCCCAACCATCCTAGATACAATTCAAAATATTCTGCTAAATTTTGACGCTCTACGTCAAATAATGTGGGCTGTATCGTGATTTCAACAGACAGACGGACATCGTTAAATTGACTTAAAATTTTATGCTGATTATGAATATATATACTTTATGGGGTCTACGATGAATATTTCGGAGTGTTACAAACGGAATGACAAAGTTAATATACCCTCCTCTCCAAGGTGGAGGGTATAATCATGTTTAAATTTAACAATAATAAAGAAAATAATTATTGACAATTATCCGTACAACTCTGTTTACAGATTTTTTTTATCATGGCGAAGAAAGAAAACGGAAGCAGCCTACAAATCGGTAAAAATAGATTCACGACCGGACTATTTTAAATCTTTATTTTAATTGTTTATAACTAAATGAATATACCATAACTATCAATTTTTTAATACTAATTTTTTATTATTGTAAATGCCTTAGCATCATTTAATAATCAAGTGTGCTTTGATATTTTAAATTAATATTGAAAACCCTATTACGCAAATTTTAAAAATTCCTATATTTTTGAGACTGTTTTGAAATTTTTACATAGATAAAATTTTATAGTTTTTACAATCTTAATTTTATAGAAATTTGTAAACGAAGGTTTAAAAGTAGTCTGCAGGTAACATTTTTAAATTTCCTTAAATGAAACACTTCCAGATCTCTTGAAATTGTAACATTCTTGGCATAACGGACGGCATTAGTTATTTATCTTAATTTCCCTGATTGTAAACATTGAATAATAGTAGTATTCAATTGCATTATATGTGCCACAGCAATGTCGAATGTTCAAACTGTGTTTTTTTGCTTTATAAACTTGAATATTTTTATTTAGCCTGTGTGTGGTTTCCACTAGGGAGGAAAATATATGAGTTATTTTATCATTAACCTTAATATTCTCAAAGCCAAAATGTCCATACTTATTTTGATTTAAATTGGAAATTAATCTTCCATTTCCAAAAAGCTTTGGTGTATCAATGATCCAATTAAATTTTTTTGCATATTTAAAAAAAACTAAATTAACGAGAAAAAATATTTGCAAAATAAGGTCGTAAGTTCAGATTTAGACATTTCTTGTGACGTATTTTCTTGTAACCACTTTTATTGTTCTCATTTCAGCAGGGGAGCGCTGCTGTGATGTGAATTGTCGTGAATAAAACCCCAATAAATAAAGCTTGCCTCCAAAAACCTTTTCTTGATGTTATTTCAGTTGGCCTTTGCATTCCAGCCTCTTAAAACAATAACTTTTTAACATGGCAACCCTGTTGACTTGGCTGAATGGGCATAGAAATATGATAATATATTCGACGAAAGCTTTCAATTTCGATTGCTAACAGATGTCGCAACAACAGTTTTTGCCCGGTGAGGTGTGTCTGCATGGTCGACTCACTCAAATTCGAAATCAATTTAATCGAATTTTCAATAATTACAATTGTTTAATTTAATATTTTTCGATGTCAGCAAGCATGAGACAGTTTTCCTACTCCAATGTACAATTTACAGTTCATAAATATCTTACAGTGATTAATATCTTTACATGTTAGGTTTGAGTGACTTCAATATTTTCGCTCATACCCCTAAACGACATTGACCAAAGACAAATGAAAATATAGACAACGAAATGCTCTCTCCGTTTATCTTCGAAAAAAAAATCGGATCAGCAGATGTCGTCTATATCGTTTCCAGGGTTTGAGTGAGAATATTGAAGTCACTCAATTCTGCAGGATATTTGTCAGTTGTAAATTGTTCCATAATAAAAGAAATATGAAAAGTACACGAGGTGACATCGAAAAATTTGGAAATTTCACTTTATAATTCTTGAAAAACGATAAAATGTGTTTTCGAAGTCGAGTGAGTTGAACGCGTAAATCAGCATGTTGACTATGCAAAACATGATGAGAGCCACCTGGATAAAAAAGACGAAACTAACTTTTCCTTGGCTATATCTTCATTTGTCTATGCATTGACGACATTTGCTGATTCGATCTTTACGATGATAATCGTAACGAAAAGTTAGTTTTGTCTTTCGTTGTCTATATTTTCATTTGTCTATGATCTTCATTTGTCTTTGTCTCAGCACGTTTTTGCATAGTCAATATGCTGTTTAACGCAGCCGGCATATTCGGCTTCGAAAACACATTTCAATATTTTTCAAGAATTCCACTGGATTAATGGCGTATTTTTCGAAGTCATCATGTAATGTACACCTATATCTTATTATGGAATAGATTTTATCTGTCAAATATCCTACAATTGTTGCATGGTAGAATAATACAGGTAACAGCAAGTGCTGTTGTACAACAATCGTAACAACAACCACATACAAATTCGTTTTTGTACGTAATACAAGTGTCAGAGTTATGTGTCCGAAAATGTAAATGTAAGAATAGTTCTCAAAATATTTAATTTTAATGGTTTCACATCATTTCCCTTAATGTATAGTTGTTAGATGTTGGTCCTAATCTCTCAACACTTCAAGCAATCGCTAGAAAATCGCGGAAAAGGCAACATCACTTTCAAGTTGAAACCAAACAACATACATACATAACGTATTCTAGATTTTGCAATTTTAGGAAACATGAAATATACGAATATATTATCTAACGTGGTGTCTATTCCTTAACCGCAAAAAAAGTTTGCAACCATCGCCTTTGGCGTTCTGTTAAGTACAACTGCAGTGAAATTTTATATCAAAAAAGGGTATACCTATTGCTGTTACCTGTAATAATTATACCATGCAGTTGTTGTTATGTTTATCCTTTCAGAATTGAGTGACCTCAATATTTCCACTCATACACCTGAAACGATATAGATGAATTCTGGTGATTCGATTTTGTCGAAGATGAACGGTGAGAGCATTTCTTCGTCTTTATTTTCATTAGTCTATGGTATAAGTTGCCCCTGCCAAGGCAGCTGACTACCAAATTCAATGTGAAAATGCATTATTGTGATTGAAATCACAGAACAGAAGATAAACAAATTGCCAAAAATCGTAAAGAAATTTTGACATTTCATCTGGTTTTTATACCCTACACGACATAGTGTTAAGCTATAGCTAAATCTGAACTGATTTTTACCAAAATTTAAAGTTTTTGCTTCTAGACTGAATTCGTTCGGATTTGCCAAAATTCAGGTAATTTGGACTGATATTGGCCATTTGGTGCACAACTAACCCGAAATCGGTTGAAGATATTTATGGTAACTATACCTACATTTTGGGCGATTATTCAATTTCAATATGGTTTTAACTGTCAAATATCCTACAGTTGTTGTTATTTTTAACATTTTAGAATTGAGTGGCCTGGAACGATATAGATGACATCTTGTGATTTGGATAGATTTTTTCATATTCAACCGAATTTTTCCATTGGTGAAACTAGGTCTGGTATATTCAATAAACATTTTTTTATATAATTATTATCGAAGTCATATCATGCACTATACAGCTATGTTATTTGGTGCTGGTGTACAAAAGTCTCCGTCAAATTTGTTGAAAATGGATTCAGGGTTGGATATAGTTCCCAAATTGTGACTACTCTAAAGCCATGATACGCACTCAAATAAGGTTCATAGTTGGTATGATCTACTTCACATAAATTCCCAACATAAACTTTTTTGTTGCGGGAGCTCTACAAAATACGCATAGTGGAGTAGAGTATCATATAGTCGCCCCGCCCGCCCCACTTTTGACCTTTCCTTACTTGTTAACATTTGCAGGAGCACCTTGTTATTGCGCCATAATTCTCACTATAAATAGGACAAAAAATTGAAACCGGTTAAATATACGTGGATAAGAGGATTGTCGAAAATGGACATTACATGAAAATCTTACCTTTCCTAAAATGCATAAAAGTTTGGAGCGACGTCTCATGGATAAATATGGCAGAATCATCTTAAGATAATGGAGACTTCCTACCGACATCTATTATATTTTGGAATGGAATAAATTAAGCCGTAGATAGTTGGTGGTTGCGATAAGCCCGCATAACAAATTCATTTAAGAACATGGAACGTTTTAGTAGGCTCGTCTAAAGATGTTGAGGATAAATCCGAAAGTTTAACTATTTTCGACTCTTAATCTTCAGGACCCGCCATTCAATTCAATTCCATTCAACAAAATGAAATTTTCAGATAGACCTATATAAGTTCGGCCAGGAAGCGGATTGGTTAAAAATACAGCTATTTCTATTAAATTTTCCCCTTATTATATCAAGGAAAATAACAAAACTAGTAGATTCTTGCAGGTACTGGAACAGAACAAATGTCACATCCCTAACATAAGGGAGCATTTATTGAAAAAATATATTATGACATTTGAAAATGCAAAATAGAAATCTAATGGAATTTTAAACATTTTCAGGAAATATGAAAATCATGAACAAAAAGTATAACATTGAACGTTGTATAAACATAGTGTAGATCGAGCAGTAAGTCAACAGCAAGTAGAGTGTAAAAGGCTTAATAAAGGATAAACGATCAAATTACATAGGAAAATTGCAATTATAGTAACAAATTTGGTTATTGGAATCTATAATCTAACAGTAATACTTTTTTATGAAGACCCAAGATTAAATCACAGCTATAAAGGCCTCATAAAGTTAGTTTGGTATGTGAGACAATTCGAGCAAAATGGCAGGAGAAACCCAATTTGCCGTAAACAATAATAAGTGGCTTAATAAACCTTTCATTATTTGTATGATGAAGATAATATATCTTTGGTTTTGAAAGAGTAAATATAGTGGCAGAAAGAGATTTGTAGGGCAAAACCACGTACACCAGAACCCCTATAGCAAAACGGCATTGGCAGCAGGACATCATCAGTAGAACCAGAACATAACTTTGCGAAAGATTGGCCTAAGACCTAAACAATGTTATCTAAAATTCGACGTACTCGGTCGACGTTTTTCACCACGCAATTTAAACACATGTGATTTAAACGAAATACGTGGAGTACACGAAATTTCAAAGTTGAACAATTTCAACATTGAAAATTGAACAATTTACTTTTTTGGTGTGAGAAAAAAAGAAATGAAAAATACAAAAAAGTGAGTGTTTGCAATAGAAAAATATAACCTAGGTGGAGTGACAAAATATTAATTTTAACAAAGTTAGAATTTAATATATGGACCCGGCGTATTTGGGTAATGCGGACGAACAAAACATTTTACCATAGCGGGAAAGTTGAATAATTGAAAGAGATTAATTAATCGTGTTGAGTGAGGGCAGTAACCGAAAAAATAAATATGACATTCAACATAGAAAAATTTAATGAAATAATTTTTTTACGAAAATTCAAAATAAGAGCTGAAAAGGAAAATTTAATGAATTTAAATTTTTTATGAAAAATTAAAATAGGGACTGAAATATACAATGTTACATTCGAATAAAAGTAAATATTGTTTTCTTTTAAAAATATAAAAAAAAAATAAAATTCTGTAGATTTTGAAATTAAAAACATATTCAAATATATTGAAAATGTCAAAATTTTCGGATAAAATGAACATAGAACAACACTAGTTCAGGAAAACCTCTTCGATTTTTTGAGTAAGGGACCTGGATATCCGGATTTTTGGCTCCAAATTTCGGTTTAGAACCGGACCGATTAAGCTGATATCCTTTGAAATCATATAAAAATACCTTTGCAACAAATGATCACATGTCAAATCGGGTTGGAAGTTTTATATCAAATTATTGTTTTTTTTGGATTTTTTTATAAACCCCACAAAAAGTCGGAAAGTGCCTATTTGGAGAGTCCATAAAATCTATAGGTACCAAATTTTAGCCGAAATTGACGTTTCCAAAATGTTACAATGCGTGGTATCTTTGCTGGATCCAGAGATATATAATTAATCTGTTCCAGAACTGGAAAAATGTAAAACTTTTTACAATGATAACTGATTTTTATTTTATATCGAAAAAAATTGCAAAACTAGTAGATTCTTGCAGGTTCTGGAACAGAGCATATATGTGTTTACATCGTTCCCGGTTTCAGAGGAGTCGGAGTTTTTCTAACTCTGATTCTTATTTTGAGTTGTCAGTCAAGCATTAAATATTACTGCTCTGGGGTATGTCCAACATAAGCTTTTATTTGATACCTAAATTGTCGATATCGGGTCGAGCAATAATATGTGAAAATGGAAGAAGAAAAGATAAAGTAAAACATCACGGTAATATTTATTTGACTTCCGCACCGAAGTATCGTCAGAGATTGGAAGTTTCTGCAAACTTCTGAACCAAACTCTGGCAGTTTTGTTGCTGAGTATATGAGTATTTAAATGTTATTTTCTATCGAAACATTGGGTACAAACCCCACATAACAGGTTAGTACATACTTAGCATAGAATTATAATGATAAGGATCCATATATTTGTTTAGTATCAACAATATTATCATTTACCTCATTTACTTAGTGTTGTACTCCATTCATTGTACTCCAAAGTTACGTATTCAGAGGTTCGGCACGTTGATAAATTTTATTCATAAAATGTTCACTCCGCGTCCACTTCCATTTATTTACCAACACATACAAATAACAAATTGAAAGAGGGAGTATGTTTGTGCTTTGGTATCATACACAAGCAAAACAAGCTGCTCTTGCATTGTCGAATCACACACTCGCACTTGAAATAGAGAAAAACGCAGCACTTTCACTTGTTCTTCGTACACAATAAATTACAATTTTCTTTTTTTCCATAAAACTAACTTTTAAGCCAGTAACATAGACTTCATCTAATATTTACACGATTAGAGCACTAATCTCCTTTTCACTTTGTTCTTTGTTACATCTCTAAGACGATATTAGGGATAGGTAAGTCGACTCCGATTAATTGAATAATCGACTTTGAGTACTCAAAGTTCTGAAACTCAAACTCGACTATGGACTTGGGTGAAAACCGAGTACTCGACTATTCATAGTTGATTGTTCGACTTATGCTATGTTCTCAGTGCCGGTTCATACGACATGATTCGTAATTCATAGTAACATAATTCCTTTTTTTTTCAAATGTTAGGTTTGTTGATTTTTATAGGAATTTGTACGAAAGTACATGAAATTAGCATTAATAATAATAGAAGAACTTATAGTTGTTTCTCCAATGATATATTTTATCATTCATTTAACAATTTTCATTCATGAACGATGTAAGACTTTGTCTTATTGGGCTTTTATGTCTTTCATTTAGGTCATTCATGTTTTGAACATTTTGTAAAAATGTTGACATTTTACATATATTTTTCTGTTTTAAATGCGGTTGGAGAGTCACTTGTCAAAAAATTGTTGTCGATACAAAATATTGCAAATATTGCCTCTTTTGTTTCCAGTTACCAAAGGGTACCTCGGATGAGAGAAGAAACAAAATTTACTTTCGTTTGAATGCACATACGCCATTCAACATTATATATTTCATTTCATTGAAAAAAATTAAAAATGTCATAAAGTTTTTCTATTTTGATTTTTTAAATTTAAAATCTATTCGACACCATAAGACTCCAGCACAGATTTGCATTTTTCTAATTTCTTTGAAATTGAGCAACCTTTCTTATTGAGCCATGGTACAGGGTATAATAATATCCAGGAGAGAATGGAAAAATATCCAAAAATGATGTTTCAAAAAAAAAAAAAAAAAAAAAAAACAATATACACACAATTGACTTTGGAAAGCAAGTGCTTATTCGCATTGACTAGTTTATGCAAGAAAATAATACAATTTCCAATGAATTATCATGAGCAAATAAGATTTTAGTTTTTTTTTCAGTGTTCCAATGAAAAATTTAAAGAACGCCTTAGGGAAACATTTGAGACTTTGGAGTGTGCCTCAATACAATGATGTAACCAGCAATGCTTTCCGTTGGTATGTAGATTCAACATGGAATTAAAAATAATTCTCGCTGTGGGAAGGTCTATTTTTATGATAAATGTGGTTGCATAAATCCCATTTAAGCAATAAATTCTTATAATTGATCTGTTCCAGAAGCTGAAAGAATCCACTTATTTTGCAATTTTTTTCGATATCATAAAGGGAAAATCGTAGTTAAAATTTTTTACATTCTTGCAGTTCTAAAATAAACCGAATGGGGGTTAATTCTTCTGTGTGTCTGCACTTTAATAGAGACAAGAAATCGATTGAGATAAATCCCCAGTGTAAAACCACAATAAAAATATCCGAATTGCATTGCCAACTGTAGTGTGTGCCGACGGCACTAATCAACGGCTCTGTCCTCTGTTTTTGTCTCTTACTTCGCGTTGGAAAGTAATGGATTTTATTTACCAGTTCGTGAAAGTTTAATTATTTGTAACAAACTTCTATTTGCTTTGTACGCATTTCTCGTTTTTCGTGGTAAGCTAAATATGTTCTCATTAGTTTATGGTGGCATTTAACATTTAGCTGGTGGCTCCAATATGCAAAATATCATATAGGTTAATGTTATTGGCAAAATATAATCGGCTAGGACGCAGCATATCCGAAATGACTAATTAATGGTACTGTGTTCGATTTTGTAGTGGAAATCGAATTATGTGTAAAAATAATTGATCCATTTACACAATTACAATTACAGAAATATGTAAACACTTGTTGATTCCTTGTCTATCGGAAAAGGGAGGATGCTGCAATGAAGTTGCCATATCTTATTGAATTGCTGAATGCAGAGCCGTACAGCAATTGTTATATACCCTTCAAAATACTATGGAGGGTCTGATATATTGACTTTGTCATTCCGTTTGTAATTAAAATTTAATATTTCAGGGTTTTAATGGGTTCTACAGCAGAGGCATAAGAATTTAAACATTTCTAGGGCTTTATACTTTTGGGTGGATTCTTCGTAAGAAATTTTTGACTTTGAATTCGCTTACTGAACGACCTTAACCAGCAAAATGTTTAGTGTCAAGAATCAGTCATTAGTTTGAGAGAATCAAGATTTTTACAAGGGCGTGGTACGGCTAGGAGTCAGACTATTTGGCACCTTGATCATGTCTTATGTAAGACTCATAAGAGGTGGATAAAAAAGTGATCATTAAGTTTTTATTTTTATAGAAAGAGGTTCCTTTAAATTTAATTTTTCCGACCGAAATGATAACTATAGAAAATCGTTTTCGTTGTAAATGTTACGTTTTAGTCCGAATTTAAACTAGACTAGCTAACTTGGGATACGTCTGTTTATAGGAAATCCAAACAAATGCTGATATTGACCATTTTCTGGCAATTCCTTTTGAGTTCTTGTTTTATACAAAAATTCAAACAATAATATCAAAAAAGCTAAAAGCGAAAAAAATCTGAAAAAATTATCTTATTTAATGGAAAAAGGAAAGTTTAGTTGCCTAATCTACATTTAGACTTAGAGCCATATTTATGGAAAAACCCTAAACCAGCATTCTACTTATTATCAACTCAATGACTTGTAATCGAATAGATTGTTGTTGAAATATCCGAAAACAGAATTTCTTGTTCATTGGTTTTATGCTTCAAGAAATATGTCTTGCACAAATTTAAACTGGGTTTTGCTTTTTAACGCAAACAGTTTGTTTACCCAAAACTTTGAAACGTATTGTACAAATTATTGTTGTTCGTTTAGCCCATTACCCTTTACTATGGTAAAGTTGTGTTATTGCGAGATTGCAAGTTCTTACTTAGGGAAACGGTCCGCTTGTTTTATAAAAATCCATTGAACAGTTTTGAAACCAAATTAAATTTTCGGTACAAGCTATAAATGTGTGAATTTCTATCTTAATTGTCTTTATTCTCAAGCCTAAATAGACAATTGCGAATGTATTTCGATCGCAATTTGCTCGATGTCGAACGCAGGAATATGACCAGGACTGTTTTGTTGTTTTGCAGAAAATGCCTTCACAAATAATGCCAGATGGAAGTGATGTGGCTAACAATGAAATTAAAGTTAAAACCGCGTATAGCGGAAAAGTGATGATCAGTTACATTAAAGAGAATATTACCTACGATGAACTATGCTTTGAAATACGTAAGAATTGCAATTTTACATTGGAGCAGGTAAAAAGGATAACAAATTAATATTTATGAACTACTTTAATGAAAATTAGTTTTATTTGCAGCCTTTCACTATTAAATGGGTTGACGAAGAACATGACCCTTGCACTATATCAACACAGATGGAGTTAGACGAAGCCATACGGTTATATGAAATGAATCATAATCCGGAATTACTCATACACGGTAAGTTCAGTTCGCCCTTTACATGTACTATATACCCAAGATGTGCAACACATGATTGTTGAGTTTCATGCTTAGCAGTCCTTTATTTTTGGATCATATTTCCTTTAGCCGCCCCAACTTTAGAAAAGGTGCCCTTGTCATCCTGATTACAACGATGTCGAATTTATGTTCCGACAATTTATATTTTACTATACATGACGAAATAAAAAAAATATTGTTTATAACTACCGAAGTTTCAACTTAACATTACTTTACCACTTGTTGGAAATATGTTTTCATAAGATTTCGTATCGTTCAGAAGTATTGGGCCAAATACGGGTTTAGTCCGCGAATTTTAAAGGTCAACATCTCGGAAAGTGTTCACTTTCGGAACACGAATTTACATCGCTGTAATCTGGGCGTGATAAAGATAATATAATCCAATTTTTTTTAATCTGCTATTTCTGCAACAAATCCCATCTAGTATTTGGAAGTAGATGACTTTTTCCCCTAATGCAACAAAATTACAATGAAATATACGTAACAATTGAATTGGGTTTTAACAACACCAATAATATTTATTGCAAAGTCCGCACTTGCTTAACGAAACGGATCTATTGAGACATTTGAATGGATGATACATTTATAATCTGAAGCAAACCATCTAGTTACATAAACTAGATACCTTTCTTTTTCTGTTGATCATAGCTTGGCTGAAACTTATTCCAACAGGCCTTGGGCAATACCAAACAAATAAAATAAGTAGGATAAACAATTCGCAGAGAAACAATTATTTAGGAGCTATTCCACAGAACAATCCATCCACTTTCACTCCGCACTCAATTCCAAATATTAACATTTATTTTATTATTCGATTTTGTGTACAACATACCAAGGCCCATAGACAAATAAAAATATAAACAACGGAAGGCACTCACCACTTATTATCAACAGATCAATATGAAAATATTGAAGTCACACAAATCTAAAATGCTAAAATTATTAACCACTGTAAGAGATTTATGAACTGTAAATGGTACATTGGAATAGAAAAACTGTCCCAATCATGATCACATCGAAAAATTTTCAATTAAACAATTGTGGTTATTGAAAACTCAATCAATTTGTTTTGGAAGTCGAGTGACTCAACCATGCAAAACACACACCTGACCGCGCAAACCCCATTGTTGCGACATTTTTTAGCAACTGATATTGAAAGCTTTCGTTGCCTATGCCAAGACCTACATTAGGTCGGACATTTGACAAAAAACTTATTCATGTTTGTGCCATTTTAGCTCTAACTTACCTTTTTATTGTACCATGGTTTGTTCTATTGAGATTTGACTTTCTATGCATTTCAAATCAGAATTTTTAGGCAGCAAACTGGGTAGGCAGATGGTATTACTGGCCGATTTTATATAGGCCTTGCAACATACAAAAAAGAAAATTTTTTTTTTTTCGAAACATTCATATGATACGTGTTGTTGTTGTTGTAGCAGTAGGACATGCATGTGTTTGCGTTCTGCTAATCTAGTTCCAGCTCCAGGTTTAGAAATTCGGCTACTTTAATGGGCTGTAGCCAGAGATCCTCGGAGTGAGTTGGGTAGGTTTGGCTGTGCAATTAAAGAGGTGCAGCGTATTGTGCGGGCCTGTATCGCACGCCGAGCAGGCGTCACGCACCTCTTCATCAATTTGTGCCCAATGCGAATTGAGACGACTACACCACCCTGAACGTAATTGCGCCAAAAATACCCTGGTTTGTCTAGGCAACTGACGTTCTTCAGCAGCAATGGATGGGGGTGGACTCCGAGGACGGCATTCACTTTATAATTGCTAATAGCATCCGCGACTGCATCGGTATGAATGCCACTCAGACCTGCCTGATAGGCTTCTTGATCTAGAGGTTCTTTCTTGTGGCGCTGGAAATTCCTCTCTAGACCATGTATGTCCTTCCTGAAACGCCTGGGTGGGGGAGATTTATCCACCATATGGTGGTTGGGATGACTCTCACGGTAACACCCAAGCAGTTACTTCAACGAAAGCATATGATTATGCTGACGTAAGTGAAGGACTTTCGCCTCTTCATGTAGATGGTCCACTGGTGTCATGAGAAGGCACCCTGTCGCAGTTCTCAGGGCAGCGTTCTGGCAGGTCTGGATATGCTGCCACTGTGTAGCACTAGTATTCGCAGACCACACTGGAGCCGCATTGCTGACCACAGGCCGACCTATCGCGTTATAATAGGTCAACCAGGTTTCTTTGTCCGCACCCCAAGTGCTTCCGGCTAGCGCTTTGGGGACCTTGTTCCTACTTTTCATCTTGTCGCAGATAGCTGTGGCTTGCGCGGACGACTTGAACATGCTGTCGAACGTGACCCCAAGAGTCTTGGGGTAGTTCGTGGTCGGTATTAGATTCCCCTCGACCTGCACACTCATCTGTTTTCTTATCTCCGCAGACCATGTGGTAAAGAGAGTGGCCGTCGATTTCGTGGCGGATATTTTCATATTCCTCTCGTGGAAGTATGCGGCAAGTTCCGCGAGATAGGGGTTCAGCCTTTCGCATATGTCATCGACCACTGGGCCCGACGCCATGATCGTACAATCATCCGCATACGTTACGATCTTAATGCCGTCTGGAGGGCGAGGAATTCCGGAGGTTAAACAGTTGCGGAGATATCACCCCACCTTGGGGAACTCCATGTTTCACTCTACGGGCTTTGGACTTCTTGTTCCGGAATTCCACGTACGACTGGCGTCCACACATATAGTTGATTATCCAACGTTTCAAACTTGGCCGGAGGGTAGTTCTCTGCTCGTCCTCAAACAGTGTGGCATGATTGACTGCATCAAATGCCTTTGATAGGTCAAGGGCTACCAACACTGTTCTATCACACGGCCTGTTCTGGTTCAGTCCTCTACTAATATGTGTGGAAATGGCGTGTAATGCTGTTGTGGACGGAATCGATGCTGGTGGTTGGCAACTGTATAGCTTCCTCTAATGCTGGGGAGGAATAAAGCCTCAAGAATCTTAGCTACTGGCGACAAAAGCGAAATCGGCCAGTACGATTCGCCCTTACTGACATCCTTGCCTGGTTTCAGTAGCGGGACCACCCGGACCATTTTCCAGATATGATACGTGTGTGTAACCCCATTGTTGCGACATTTTTTAGCAATCGATATTGAAAGCTTTCGTTGTCTATGCCAAGGCCTACATAAGGTCGGACAAGAAGGATACATTTGACAACAAACTTATTAATGTTTGTGCCATGGTAGGTTTAACTTACCTTTTTATTGTACCATGATTTATTCTATTGAGATTTGACTTTCTTTGAATTTCAAATCAGAATTTTTAGGCAGCAAATTGGGTAGGCAGATGGTATTACTGCACGATTTTATGTAGGCCTTGCAACATACAAAAAAAGAAAAATAAGTTCTGTCAAGATTTATTTGATCGATTTTTTCGAAACATTCATATGATACGTGTGTGTAACTTAAACAATAATTTCGAATTTTGGTAACGCTGTAACGAAATCACACGTAAATATAAATTGTTTAGTTCTGAAACATTAATTTAGTACCTGTATGTTGTAAGTAAATTGTCACTGGGTCCCGAACACAAAATTGCATCCCTAGATGCTTTGGATTTATTGAATAATGGCACAGCTCTTAACATTGGTATCTCATTACAATAACGTGAAACAGAGGTTAGTTTCATCTATTAAATGTGTATATGAGATTCTAATACGTTTTTAAATCAAGAAAGCTGAAACTTAACAACGGCAAAACATTGTGCTTCATTTTAAAAAAAATCTATGACCTAATTTTATTAAAGAACGCAAAAAACATTTATTTCTTACAAAATATATCATTAAATCTAAAATTATGTTGGTTTCAAAAAACGAAATTGTTTTTTTTTTTTAGTTGAGCCGACGTGGATATTAATATTTCTCGACAAAGCCACACTCATTGCAACCACCGCATTCTCTTATTGTTTTCGTCCCTTTTATACACACTAAACACTGATACTAGGCGAGAACACAGTTTTTATACTTCCAGTTCTACCCGTAGCATAGTGTGGCATTAAATATTTAGTTATTTCAAAGGTGTTTAAAGTCTCTACGTCTGTAGATGTTGCTAAAAAAATTATATACTGAGAGGCTGTGCGTAAAGAATATAAAAATGGGATACAAAAGAGAGAGGAGGCATGATAAGAGCGGGCCTGCGTAAGATGAAAGTTTTGTTATGCTATAGTATTCTCTTAAGTATAACTTGGAACAATAGATATTGTTTCTTTGTTTTGTACGAAATTGGTCGCCTTATGAAAATGTTGGTCTTTTTTGGGAGCGTGTTGCCTGGAATATAAGTTTATTATTAAGAGATTAGCCCAAAATAACTTCAGTTCTTATAGTATTGTTTACTTTAAAGCTTTAATAATATTGAAAAAAAATACAAATAAACTTCTCAACTTGTTGTTTGATTTATAAGTATAAATAGGTAATTGTACAATTGAGTCCTTTGCTATGGTGACATGATGTATTTTGATTAATTTGATGACCCAAAAAAACGTACGGTTATTGTCTTTCTCGCTGCATACAGTAAAAATGTTTCTTTTCTTTTAATCTAATTGTAATTGTCCGCGTATTCCAAACATAGGTTTTAGGCGGTGTGTCCTAATATTATCGTAGGAATGGTGTGTAATATTGTATGAGGTGTTCGGGTGAAAGGGCTAAGGTGATAAACAGATTACATTGCCTTATTCAACGTTTGTTCCATGTTTTCTCTTCGCTCTCACACCCTTGTTACCACGAAAACAACCACTTTGGTCAATGTCTAATTGCTTTGGGTGAATGTTGTTGTTTTTTGTTCTGAACTTGCGCTACACTTGTGATAGTTGTCCCGGCAGTGACAGGAAATTTCATCGCATCACAATATGTCATTCGGGTAATTTTGCTACTGTGCATTGCACGCTCATCATTTGTTTTGTTTTGAGTTTTATCCGCTTCTGTGCAAGAATGTTGCCTCTCTTCGCTACGAAAATGCCAGTCGCGATGCTCTAAGTTTTGTGTTCTGTTATAGGAGATAAAGGTCGTTCTGAGAACAAAATTTCTGGAAAGAGACTGGTGAAATATACTGACATTGAATCTCCAATTCAATGATGTTTGGTAGGCTAGGAGTATAGTAATCTTTACCATCGCATGTCCTTTTCCTTTCGGCAGCTGGTCTTACTTACACATTTCTCTAAATCAAACCAACAATGTAGAAGTTCATAGTTTCTCGATGCCAGACACTCGTATACTTCTGTATAGTATACACTAGGATATAGTATGTGTTTGTTTTTGCCTTGTCTCAGGCTCTGGATGTTCTCTTTCGCTGCCTTCTACAAAAATTATAGCACTCGCGCACAACTTTTTGTCGCAAATGGACGTATTTGCCAGGTTCAATTTAGTATTCGATTACCTTTTGGAGAATATAATTACAAAATACAAGAGCCAGTTTTCCAGTGAAAAAGTTGATTTATTACAATTATAAAGTGCTTGAATAAATTGCTCCTGACTTGCTTTGAAATTGATAAAAATTTTTGAATACATACTCTGCCGTCGTAATAAATTACTCAGGAAAAGGTAATTGAAAGTTACTAACGGGTGTCATACGGATGGACGCATTGTCGTATATGTGTACATATAATCAAAATCAATAAAAAATATCGACAAAAACTCCACCCAAAAACTTGAGCCACTTTCATTTTTATTTTCTTTGGATGGTCCTTGCTGTACTCCGAATGAACGCAGAATTTGTGAGCCAGTGCGATTTTTGTTTTATTAAATGGTGTTATGTTAAATAATTTCTCTGCTCCAGGTAGGACTTCGCTCAAAGTACTTAAGACAATGTATTATTTTGTGAGAACTTGTGGCTATAGATATTTTGCATGTTAAAATGGTCTCGGCATATTGTCTGTGCCTATAAAATCGACTCATTATTATGCGAGTTCCCCTAAACACTGAAGTACGTTGCAATTTTACAACGTTGTCCTTTGACTTTTTTATCTGTGACCGCTGCTGCACAGCGTTATTGGACATGATCCCTACAAACCTTTGTTTGTGAATTCTTTTTCTGTTTATTGTCAGCAGCTTCAGAGGTTTTGACGTCAATTGCAATATTAACCTGAATTTGAACTATGACAGAAGGGCGGTTGCCAGTCTGCGAAGTGTTCTAATAAACATGACTACAACACCTATTATTAAAAGTAAAAAATAAAATAAAAACTGATATGGAGTTTTGCACACAAAAATGCCACAATCTTTGAAGTTTCTGCATTGAAGGATGGAATTTGACGTAATATTCCAAGGTCTTCCACAAAGAATATATGTAGTGTACCGCATAGTATATTGAACATTAGGCTTCAGTTAATGGGTACAATCGCCCTCGACCCTTTATAAACTAAACCAATTACACAGACACACATAAAGAACCTCAAGTATAACATTTTGCTAAATGAGTTTTTGATACACTTCCATCGCTTTGCTAACATATTTTTTTTTTCGTTTAATAAATGTATGCACATGACATAGTGTTTGCGTTGCGTTATATCAATTATTTTTTCGATGTAATTAATTTCTTGTATTCGGAGTTCCACAGTACAGTTATATGAGTCTACGTTTACTAGACAATGTGCGTACAAGGCATTTTAGTTGTAAAAAAACTTGTAATATTGTTCGGTCTACAACGCTTTTTTTATTTCTAACTCCGCAAGCATTTCGATTAAAAATACAAAGCAAAACTACCTGCTTCTTTTGATAACTATGCTGTATTGGCAAGTAGAATTATACAACCAATTTGCACAATAAGTCCTTGTAAATATTTTGATAATATGGCGAAATGTTAAAAACATAAAATGCAAACAATACGAATAATATGAACAAATATGTAAGAAGAATACGACTTTTTAACTAACCAATGTTTGGCTACTTAAGATTTAACTAATATTCATGATTTCTTAAGGGGTTTTGAATTGAAATGTTGATATCAGTTTGATGTCACCTTTTTTGCTTTGTCAAGTATAACATACCATTTCTAAAGCACGATTTGTAAACAATATTTGTGTCTGTTAAAAAATTATATCTAGCAGTCTTATCCACCTTTCGGAGAGCATTTCATTCGGAGTTTATCAGCTTAGTGGTTCTTCGTTTATTTGTATGAAGAAAGGAAAACGAAATAAGTGGCTGAAGTTTATCCTAAAAAACGTATATGTGCTTGGCTCTAGCGTTAACAATTCACACACATTTGCTTATTTTAGCATACGACATGCATAATGCTTGAGCAAGAACTGACTGAAGGATAAGTCGAAAAGCTGTAAAGAATTCCTAAGGGTCCATTGGCAACTGTGAACAAACTCTATATACAATTTTGTTATAGCATGGCTTGGGGATACTGGAGCGCCACAACTGTGGACCGTGGACGGTCACCGAGGCGCAATACGCAGACAACGCCGTTACCGGTAAATTTAGTACAGCAAGAAGAAGAACCTTGTGTGACGACAACTACGACCGCAGTTCAGTCCTCGACAACGACAAACTCAAATACATGCCCCAATACACCATCTGGCACACAAGCTGGTTTGTGCTACAGTCCCACTTGTCGAAGTCGGTGCAGCAGCCCGTGTCCCGGCAGCCCCTGTCCTGGAAGCCCTTGTGGGTCTATTACACCACCACCGCCGCCCCCACATCCTTTGACCTCGTCACAGCAATATTTGCACCAACATTCCAATAAGAATTGTCCTGCAGCACAACAAGTCTTTACTGCCCAGGATTATCCTTCCAGGCGTCAATCACTGGACCGGTTGGACAGTCCACAGGTATGGACATTTAGTAAGGTATTGCCGTTTGTTCCAAGGTCTAGATTTTACACGTATCTAGAGAAAAATGTGGAAAATCTACCGCTATTTGATGATGAGGAAATTCACCCTGAATGTATTTGTCTGGAAGAACGTTCACATGAAATAATGGGAATTTTCCATCAAAAAATATGCGATTGCGTTTTTCTAGAATTTTTCGTTCATCGTCAACTCAGTTTAGTTCTCATGGTAATTTGATTTATTTTCGTTTTTCTTTGAATATTGTTCCTGAAAATTGCACACTTTGACATCCGCATAATCTCTTGTGAATAATCGCGTGCGATTTCTACACCCCAAAAACTCATTGGTCAATCATTTGTTGTAACGATCACCGATTGTCTGATATCACCTCTCCATGTTGATTATAACAGTCGAAATATTTTGATACTATACAGGCGAATCAACTTTCGGATATAATGTGCCGCGGTGCAGTTGTTTCGTCCATACAGTCCGCCAATAACACATTGACTCGCGGTGTTTCCCTGCACAGTCGTAGCGGAAGTGCCCACGGCAGTATTCATGGTGGCGGCAGTCATCATGGAAGTCACGGAACAGTTGGTCCTCCTGGCAGCGTTCATGGCTCAATGGGCTGTTTACAAGGCAGTACAGGACATTTGGTAAGTGTGGGCCATTCCAACAGCGGGAGCGTGGGAATGCTTACCGGTGGAACTGTGGATACTGGCGACTATGATGTTCCCCATCCACATCCGTATACTCATCACTATATGCAAACGTCGTCGTCTATAACGCCGCCCCATTCTACGATGAATTTGATGGGATCCAGGCCGGGATCTGCGGGGCCGTGCACTGGACACGAGTCTGGATCGGATTCTAGTCAAGGATGTGGCTCAATGATGGCTTCTGGTAGTCTTATTGGGCATATACATATGAGCACTATTGGAGGTGCCGGTGTCCATCACTCTCATGTAGGTGGCAGTGGTTCTCTTGGGCGTTGTTCTAGTCGCTGCCACAATACAACTACGACTACGGATGATTCTGGCGGGGGCAGTGGCGGCAGTGTTTTCGGTAGCGGCCCTTGCATGGGCCTAGAGCACCAACAACAACATCAACACCATCACATTGTTCGACATGGCAGTGCTGGTAGTGGCCTCAACGGCTGCGGCAGTGGTGGTAGCGGTGGTCGCAATAGTTCCCTCAGTACTATCCACAACGGCCATGGACACCATCAACAGTACCATCACGAATGTATTCACTACGAACGGCTACCAATACCAGTCCCCATACCCACTGTGCCAACTACACATCACCAGCAACAACACTTGCAATCAGAAGAAGAAATTGAACCAGCATATGCGACAGGTATGAAAACAACATGCGCTATATCGGATGAAACTTTTTGTTTTGCTTTTAAGAAGACTGATTTTTTTGCTTGTCCCTTTGTCAAGGAACATATACCAGCGATTTCCTTTGACGCTGTGTAAAACCTATAGGAGCCTTCCAGAACTTCTAATTTGAAACACAACATATTATCTTCCTATTTCCTCTTTAAGCCATAAATAATACGAACTAATGATTCAAATAATTATGTAGTTGTTGGGATTTTTTAAATATTTTCATTTTGGGTTGTCATTACAAAACAGCAGATTTTTAATCAGCTAATGGCATTGAATAAGTTTCAGTGAGAAACATTTTGAAGTGAGAAATTGAGAAATCTCAGTAACTCAATTATTAAAATTCTCTTCTCTCGCCCTAATTTACTGGACTTTAGGATCGGAAAACAACATTTTGTAAAATTTCGTTAGTTACTCCAACCTGGTTCAGGCAAATTATATGATAAAATCTTAAATGTTGGGGTAGTAAGACCTTGTAATGTGCTTCCTTATTACCACGTTATTATGATACAGATACATGAATTGAAACATTAAGAATTCTAGCGTTGTGCAAAAAAAAAAAATTGTGCAAAATTTATTAAAACTGCTTAATTTACTTGAAATATCAATGTTTACAAATGATTTAGTCTACAATGCTCCTAATGCTTTCATCAATATTTTGAAATCGTTTGCGTAACTTAATGAAGCGTTTAGTGTTGGTGTTACCTATAAACTGATTACCGTTGTATCAGTCAATTTTTCAGGTATAAACTAATATCCCGTAGGTATGATATACAAGAGGGTTCTTGTCACAAATTCTAATATGAAAAAAAAAAAAACATTTATTTAAATTGTATTATCTTGTTGCATGCTAAGTCTGCCTCTGGGACGTTTGGTTTGTCCGCAACTCCATATAAACATATATTCTTCGCCACAACATGGCAAAGCTCAACAATTAAAAAAAATTACGGGTTTTGTTTTGTTTTGTAGGTGTGAATCAGGGGATAAGAGTATCTGTCTTTTCGTAAGACCTTCGCTGATAACTTGATAAGCATATGTTCACATCTAATCTTATCTCTCTCCAATTTTTCTAGCATTTATTTATCTATGTAGGTCTTTCCACGGTTAACATTTAAAAGACCACAAGTCCAAATTACCCTTTTGTACAGTCGATGTGATTTATGTCGTTTTTTTTACGTATTCTCAACAACGTACAACTTGTTTTGTGTTCGAACGTTTGGAACTAAAGTTTGTGTAATTTTTGTACCGTGTGAGTGCACAGTATATTCTGGTTTAGTTGAGTATGGAGTAGCCCATATAAATTCATTGTCTGCGCTGGCATACATTATGTCGTCATATAAATTCAACATAAAATTTTCGTTAACATATTAATTTTATTGTTCAAAACTCGCATATCATTCTCTCAGCATGCAGTGCTTAAATTGAAAACAATTTTGACAACCACGATTCCACGAATGGCTACTTTTGTTAGAGAACAAGTTGTAAAACGTACATAAGAACACATAAATACTAATTTATTGAATATAAAATAAAACATACGTCAAGGACTATACATTATACGTTTGCATATTGGTTGAATCATCTATAAAGAACGACGTTAATGCCTAAGCTTACAATTTCAGTGAATCCAGTTTAAACTAGGAATAACAAGTAAAAAACGTTAAGTTAGGCCGCGCCAAACTTTTATACCGAATATCGGGAGGTACGGTTTTATGTGGGCTATATAAAAACGTGGACCGATATACATCATTTTCAATACCAACCATACGCAATACAAATTGTTATGCCAAATTTTGAAACTCAACGTCAAATATTGTGGGCTGTATCGTGATTTCAACTGACAGACGGACATTGTTAAATCGACTTAGAATTTTATGCTGATTATGAATATATGTGTATACTTTATGGGGTCTACGAAGAATTTTTAGGGATGTTACAAACGGAATGACAAATATAATATATCCTCCTTTCCAAGTTGGGGGGCATAAAAAGACAATGTTGCACGTTCTTTGTGCAGAAATACCGAAATCTGGTAGCACCATGCGGTAACTGTATTGTGCGGGGCTACACACACACAAACGTATAATATCGATTGAATTGTTCTCCATCAATCGTGTGTACTTTTTTACATTGCTATGGCGTTCGCAAATGGGTCACTCTTATATGACACACATTTCTCTTCTTGGGAGAATTAGTGGTCATAAAGAACTAACAGTCTAAATCATCGGTTCGTCAAAAGAAGAACACAGTGTGCTGTTGAATGCGACTGATCGACAGAAACGAGTAAATAAAGAAGACAACACGTATTATCGGCAAGCACACCAAATTAATCGATTGCTGTACGGAATGTTTTGACAACATCGTTCGTTCCACAGGAGTATTATTTGAGAGAGATAAAGAGCGAGAGCGAGATAAAACATCGGTATGATCATTTGGAATGGTATTTTTGAGGCTGCCACAATTTACGGGGTTCAAACATCATCATTTTTCATGAGCGGAGGTGCCGGATGTTAGTAGAGTCCAATTACAAATCTATAAAGTATAATATCCCCTTAATTTGAGGGGCAGCTTATATTTTCAGTTGATCAATAACCTAAAACTATTCCGAAATCGGAATTGAAACAATATCATAGTTAATTAATTTATTTGTCTGTTTCTAAAATCCAAAAATGAAATATTTTTAAGCTTCGTGCAATCATTGTTGTGTCCCCTTTACGTTTTTAATGGTACAATTAGTAAAAGAGAGATAAGTTACATTCGCTCTGAGAGAACTGCCTTGTCTAGCAAGTACGGGAACGGAAAACTAGTAAAAATTTCAAAATTTGGCCTCGTAATGCATACAAATGTATACTACGAATTCAGAGCGGATATACTTATTTGGATATGGTTCAAGTATTAGTTGCTCAAAAAACACTATTGAAATCGTCAAGTGTATCGTTCCTTGCTCAGCAATATACAAGCATTTTTACTTAACCTTGAGTTAGAGTTAAATTATTATGTTGTTGCTGCATGCAAATTAAACAATGTTATGTATATATAAAAGCATACACACACATTTCAACTTACTGTGACGAAATTGAAGACAAGTAATTTAACTAAATTTTCGCCGTTTGGGTTTGCTTCTTGATGCTGTCGTAGTAAATACTTATTGAGTAAATGTGTGACAATGAACATCGATTGACAAAAAAGGAGCGCCGTATTCAAAATCAAGACTTTTCGTAGGGACTTGGGTAGAGTTTAGCTTCAGTCAAATAATAAAAATTACAAAACTTTGTTTTGTGTTCCATGGCAGAGGATAGGGGTCAAAATCCATATCATTTCATGTATACGACATGGATGTGGGTAGGAATAAACAGAATGTCTTGAATACGAAGTTTAAAGATTACATTTAAATGGGGTTCGTTTTAAACGATGAGCTGGAAAAAATTGCTAGCACTTGGAGTATTAGAACGGACTCGATTCAAATTATGAGGGAAATAGAATCGCTTCGGTGGCATGTGGATAGAATGTGGAGGGTATGAGTTAAAAACAAATATTTTATATTTGTAGCCGAATGTGGAGGATGAGCTCATGGATTAGATATTTATTTTAATTTTTGTGGAATGTGGGATATCACCTTATTGTCCATCTTTACAAATACATCATTTTTGACGGTACTTAAAGCCTACTAAAAGGCCGATCGACGATCTCAACTTCTGGTGTATTTCACAATATAAGATGCATATAAGAAGTGACCCGTATAGTTTAAAAAAATAACACTTTTGATTTTCTTCAGTGTTTCCGAATGTTCCTGCGGCCCCTGGTTTGTTGTGCGATGGAGAAGATCGTAAGTTATAAATATCAATTAGGAAACTATGTGTGGTAAGACTAATTTTAATTGAATATTTCAGGAAGCATATACCGTCGTGGTGCACGTAGATGGCGTAAATTATATCGTGTCAATGGGCACATATTCCAGGCCAAACGTTTCAACAGAGTAAGTTACCTCCGTAAAAAACGCTCTATTTATGCATTTTTTTTGTTGTCCTACAGCGTGCATTTTGCGCCTATTGTCAAGATAGAATCTGGGGTCTCGGGCGTCAAGGCTTCAAGTGCATTCAGTGCAAATTATTGGTACATAAAAAGTGTCACAAATTGGTGAAGAAGCCTTGCTCTAATGAACACGTTGAACCATTGGTTCCAAAAGGCTCGGAAGAAGACTTTGCCGAGCAATTACCAAAAATGGCACCACCCATTCCAGACTATCCACCCATGCACGCCGGAGGGGAAGAATCACGCATCTCGGATCCAGAGCATTTGCCCTCGTCCTCCGGTGGTGGTGGTGGCGGAGTCCACCTGTCATCGGGAAAAGATCCAGTTGACATGGGATCGCAGCGTCAATTTTCTTTGGATGACTTCGAGTTAATCCGCGTTATTGGTCGTGGTAGTTATGCTAAAGTATTAATGGTTGAATTGAAAAAGACTCGGCGTATCTATGCCATGAAAGTAATTAAAAAGGCTTTGGTAACTGATGACGAAGACATCGATTGGGTCCAGACGGAGAAACATGTCTTTGAAACGGCTTCAAATCATCCATTCCTTGTGGGCTTACATTCGTGCTTCCAGACGCCTTCGCGTTTATTCTTTGTTATTGAGTTCGTTCGAGGAGGAGATCTTATGTACCACATGCAACGGCAGAGGCGTTTGCCGGAGGAACATGCACGTTTCTATGCGGCGGAAATCAGTTTGGCTTTAAACTTTTTGCATGAGAAAGGAATTATATACCGTGACTTGAAATTAGATAATGTTTTATTGGACCATGAGGGCCACATCAAGTTAACGGACTACGGAATGTGCAAGGAAGGCATACGCCCTGGAGATACTACATCTACATTCTGTGGTACACCCAACTATATTGCCCCAGAAATATTGCGGGGAGAGGATTATGGGTTTTCGGTGGATTGGTGGGCCCTTGGAGTCTTGCTTTATGAAATGTTGGCTGGGCGCAGTCCCTTCGATATAGCCGGAGCATCAGAAAATCCTGATCAGGTAAGATTTTTATACGAAAGTTCTATTTAAATTGATGCCAAGTTAGATTAGACGAAAACGAACACGGGTTACAACAAAAGTTTTAGCACCCGAAACTGAACTGCATAATATCAATCTAAAAATCAGCGTTCTCCATAAAGTAAAATTCATTAACAACTATAATTTTTAAATTTACATTTTCTATATTCGCAGAACACGGAGGATTACCTGTTCCAAGTTATTTTGGAGAAAACTATTCGCATACCAAGATCGTTAAGTGTCAAGGCGGCTTCTGTTCTTAAGGGCTTTCTCAATAAAAATCCAGCTGATCGCTTAGGCTGCCACAGAGAAACCGCTTTTATGGATATTAAAAATCACCCATTTTTTAAGGTTATCGATTGGGAAATGGTAAGTGAGCTCTAGGTTGGGTTGAATGTGGGTTTCATAAAAACAGTTAACAACCATTTGTGCATATTTGATGATAACTATAACCTCATTCTTTTGGTCTCTGAATAATACGATTTGAATTATTGTCATTTAATATACGCAAGGTTGCTCGAAAGGAAGTAGCGCCACCATTTATACCAACATTTGATCCTGGTGATCCTTATTTGACAACAAACTTTGACATTCAGTTTACTAGGGAGCCAACTGAATTCTCTCCTGATGACCCGTAAGTCCTAGATTATGATTAAATTCCCAAATGAAGTGTGTTATATCGATGTTGTTGAATTTTGTAACCGCGATAACCAAATCTTGATCATATATATCAAGAAAATATTTGTACTGCTCCCTTAAATTGATCTGGAATACATAAGCGAAAGTCTAAAACAATTCCTCATTTGATGAAATCAAATGATAATATTTGACTCATCACGATAATATTTGAAAGTTAACCTTCTACCCATTTTTTGTTTGCCCAATTTTCTTGCATACCTATAAAAACCCAACATGAGAGTGTAAAGATTGCTAGTCTTGGTGTTGTGTTGAAAATTGACAATTTCGCTCAATCGTTGGTCACATTTCATATCTCATTTATAAGACCTTGAAACAAAACATGTCTGTTTGCGCTTCTATTACGGGAAATCTACCTTCTCTATAAGTAGCTTCATGAATATGGAATTTAATAGTATCATGTTACTCATCAAATGTTCACAAAATTTGAAATCTATAAACTTTTGTTTGTTATTTTGATTTTATTCATCCATAAAAATCTTGCTCCCGCTTCTTTTTCATGTCTTCGACCCATCAAAATCTCCAACACACATTCATTCCATAGTTGGCATACAAGCAAGTCACACCACCATTTAAACCACGTTTAGACTCAGATCGTGATTTGGCCAATTTCCCACCTGAATTTACAGGCGAAGCAGTACAATTAACACCAGATGACGAGTAAGTCGCTCTTGAGTAGTCAAAGTACATTTATATTGCCAAAAAGCAGACATATGTATATAAATCTTGTTAATTCCCTTAATAATTTTGTTCAATTCTTTATAAATTGAATTTAGCCGTGTCATTGATAACATCGATCAGTCGGAGTTCGAAGGTTTCGAGTATGTCAATCCATTGCTAATGTCCTTGGAAGATGAAGTTTGACATCACGAGTTCTGTGATTTGCATCCCTACAATATGCGTGTAAGTAAATATGATTATGTGGGTCTGCAAATTTTTTGGTTCTTATTCGAAGCTGTGTATTAGATAGACTGTGCCAGTCTCCTATGTTCAAGCAACATTTCGTTTTCTTTTTGTTTTAGCTGTATGGCGAAGATTCCAGTGACTATGATTCAGTTGCTGATGATTTAAGTTTAATGCGCATAAACGCTCCTAATAACAATTTAGCAACACAATTGAATAATTACATCAATGATCAACACCACCAACAACCACAACATCAACTTCATCATGAATCGCAGCAGCAGCAGCAGCAACAGCAAACATACCATGAATATCATTATGACCACTCACAACAACAACACCAAGAACAGCAACATTCACATAATGGTAACAATAATAATACACATAACGCAAACAATAATAAAAGTAGTTTATTGCAGCACATGTTTTGCCTTCCATTAAACTAATCTTATAAACAGACAGACAAGTACAACAAATAAACGAAAATAATGTCTGCAACTGAAAACAGATATCTTATGCAAAATAAATTAAAGTACTTTGAATGTATGAATCATAATCACATTAACGGCTCAGAGTCTATGAGAGACATTAAATATAATAAGAACTCACACTGATTTTTCTATTCAAAACCACAACCACGTCATACTATAAAACATAACGTATAAAAAATATTAAAGTATCTAGAGGAGGAGATAAATGTAACTGAAAATAAATTTAGAAATCGCAATATTCTATTGAAGTATTTTCTGAAAATGGCACCTCACAACATCTCAATAATATGATCATTATCATGAAAATGCAACTAATCGGCAATACAAATATTTCACATCTTAAGTGGGTTTTTTCTATTCATACTGTGCTCTGTCCCAGCGCATTGTTCGTTTTCAAGGCTACCTCTGCATGCATATTTGTGGAGAGAGCACCTAGCCAAAAGTGGTGCAACTTTTAGATCTACAACTTTTAACAGATTTAAAAGTTACTATCAAATAAAACATAGTCGACTACGAAACCGCATCTATCGAGTATTGAACAAACATTTTGAGTCGTTATTTTTTGTGCGTATGTAGGAAGAGATGGAAAGTATTTCGAAAAAAATTATGTAAATAAAATTTTCTACAAACTTACACTTTCTGGCTAAATATTCAGACTAAATATATCAGAAATATGTGCATGAAGCCGTTGTGAGCGACAGAAGAGAGCTGTATGACGACACACTTGTCAAAATATGAAACCATCCGTTTCGACATTAATTTTCCCCGTAAAAAGTTGTTGTTTTTTATGAACTATAAACATTTACATTTTTAAATTCTCTCTCCGTATAAAGAAAACCAATATAACTTTATTATTGCAAAGCTTATTGAAAACACAAATAATATCCAACTTTTAAATATAAAATTCAAATTGTTATTATTAACACGATCATTAATATATATTTATATTTTGTGTCTGCATTAGTGCGAGGTTTTCGTATAGAGATGCATACACTTCATTAAGAATTTCAATAAAGGACACTGATATTGAATATTTTACTAGTTAAGTTTAGGTTAAAGCATGCACTTGAAGCATTCCCTGTTCCCAAGTACAGAAGTATAGGCGAATGTCAAACATGCACATATAACTGTCTTGGCACTTATTTATTTTCTAATTGGATCTTCTTTTTTATTACCATCTACTGAGTATTTGTTTTAAAAAGTCATTCCGTAATTAATTGAACAACTTCACGCCCCACAGGTTGAGTATTAGAAGTTTTTTAACATACATATACATTCATATAACAAATTTAAAGATGAGTTGTTCGTTACTACAATATAATAAAAAGTAAAACAATGAAAAATAATACATATTATAGCTAAAAATTAATATAGTAAAAGTGACAAAATTCTAAATATTTTAATATGTTTAAATTAGAGATGATTACCAAACGATAAAGTTAATTGATCTGTTTCCCCCAAAGCGAAAAACCAGCAAGTTGCTTCCTTTTCAAAGCCACTTATGTCTAGAAAATTATAAGAAACAGGAAATGTCAGAACCCTTAACCCGTTTGTCTAGCTCGTTTACAAGCGATTGGACACGGAACAGTGAATAAATGAAACATAGAAGTAATAATAAAAATATTAATTTTAAACTATTTGTGGAGAAGCCCCTTTGGAACGATCGAAGTACAGTTTTAATTAACAATTACAATTGTTCATTATAAAATCAACTTTTGTTTCTAAAATAAAAAAAGAACTCTGATAAATAACTATATAAAAAATATTGAATGAGTTTTATTTTTTGCTTGAAAAAAGACGGCGAAGGTCAAGACACTAACATGTTACAATAAGAAGAATAAATGAACATTTCCCAGTCTGACTTTAAAAAACTTGAATTTATTAGAGAATCTATGGTATATATTATTATCCAATCTCATTTCAGGCAGGAGCTATCAACAAAGTTCCAGGAATTCAATGTAATATTAGTGAACCAGATCCATAAGCTAAGGTAAGGGAGTGACAGCTGGGGAAGGCCATTAAATGGATAAAAGTAATCAAAATTGCAAACATAAACTTTTTATACTATAATATAAATAAGCTCAATATAATATTTATTTCGTAAGCTAATTCTACCAGGTCGAATGTTTGTTACACAATAATTTCTCAATATTTTTTCAAGATTAAGGCAAAACTACATAGACAATTGTTATTGTATGTACGCAATAAAATGTTTCATTTTAATGTTTTTATATCCTTCCTCTCAATGTTAAGTTTTCAGCTGCAGGTACAAATCTTCCAACACTTCAAAAAATCGCTAGGAAATCGTTGAAAGAAACAACATTCCTTTCAAATTGAAATCAATATATACATACACATAAGGTATACTACATTGTTGCTAATTTAGAAAACATGACGACTTTATAAACAAATGTCATTTCACTTTTCTTTACGGGTTTATATATAAAAAAAACATCGGCAGAACTGATTTGTGTTTTCATGTATGTTGAAAATAAAAGCAAGCAACTTTAAAAATGATTCGCTTCGCTACCCCTTTTGGTTTTATATGCACTCAAAATTTAATATACGAATATTTTATGTTTTGAAATAAATATGAAACAAATTCAACAATTTACAAAACGTGTTATTGTAATGCTTTAGGACATACAATATATTTTGTTTTTTTTTTTGTCGGAATATTTCCAGTCGGAAATAGTATCTATGAAAGCTATCAGGCATGTCACAAAATCGTATCGAAATGGTTTGAATTTCACAATTCAAAAACGTACGATTTTTTACCTTCAGATTTCGTACGATTTGGAGAACTACAAATTTAGTGTAAATATGGAAACTTTACATATTCAATATGGCGACATAAGGAGAATGAAGGAACGAATGAATGAGGAATCAAAACAAAACACATGATAAGAAAAGAAAACATTGTAGATGTGTAAATTTTAAAAATATTATGTTAATGAGAGTTTTTTGTGCAAAAAGAAAGTTAATTTCAATTTCGATTGTTTCTGTAATTGAGGTGCAATGCATTGTACAAAATTCTTTTTTGTGTGTTCTATTTGTTTAGGTTTTTCTCTTCGCTTCAGTTTATTATTCGTAATACCACATTGTTTAGTTTTCACAGATGAATAATTTTTGTTTAACGAAAAAAGTGATTTGGCAACACTTTGTTAACAATTGCCTTCGTCAATTAAGAAACCATAAAAATTATTTTGAATAAAAAGATTAAAAATATACATTTAATTGTGTATTTGTCATTAATACAACATTTGTATTACTTAAAAGTATTTTGAGAGTGGTTTATAGCATAGACATATGAAAATATGGACAACGAAATGCTCTCACCGTTCATCTTCGAAAAAATCGGATCGGAGTGGGAATTTTGAAGTCACTCAATTCTAAAACGTTAAAAATAACAAAAATTGTAGCATAATTGTCAGTTGAAAATTATTTCATTATAAAAGAAATGTGAAAAGTACGTGATGACATCGAAAAATATGGGAATAATCCTTTGAACATCTTGAAAAACGATAAAATGTGTTTTCGAAGTCGAGTGGGTTGGACGCGTAAATCAACATGTTGACTATGCAAAACATGATGAGAGCCACCTAGATCCATATCCAAATCCGAATCGATTTCATATACATACAAAATGTGAACATTTAACATAATAGTCGACAAGTATTCTTGTACGGTACGCCGGGTATTAGGTAGGACTGTTATTCTGGCCATTATTAGCGATAATATTATGCAGAAAAAAAATTCAAATTTAAATTACACAAAAATGCTCTACACAGATCACATTTTTAATTAATTTGGTCAATAATTCGTCCAACAATGTTACTTTACCATTATCGTTGATTGTTTCTGTACGGGTATAAAATTGGGCGAGTGCCAACCGGGACTAAATATTATACTTTGGTGCACAGAAATGATTGGTACTTGTATACTTGGAAAACATGCTGAAGGGTCATTGTGTATGCCAGAATAATTCTGCCGGACCAAGGGGATAACCGTTTGAAAGCTTATGAAGATTACTTCCTACTCAAATATCGAAATCATTAAGATTCGATTGTAGGAATTCAATGTGACAGGAAAACTTTCACCCCCTGTATCCCAGCTAGGATATTTCTGCCAGGACAATATTAGTATCAAAATATGGAGTTCAAAACATGATTTGACAGCTCAAAAATGCTCTACACAGATCACATTTTTAATTAATTTGGTCAATAATTCGTCCAACAATGTTACTTTACCATTATCGTTGATTGTTTCTGTACGGGTATAAAATTGGGCGAGTGCCAACCGGGACTAAATATTATACTTTGGTGCACAGAAATGATTGGTACTTGTATACTTGGAAAACATGCTGAAGGGTCATTGTGTATGCCAGAATAATTCTGCCGGACCAAGGGGATAACCGTTTGAAAGCTTATGAAGATTACTTCCTACTCAAATATCGAAATCATTAAGATTCGATTGTAGGAATTCAATGTGACAGGAAAACTTTGACCCCCTGTATCCCAGCTAGGATATTTCTGCCAGGACAATATTAGTATCAAAATATGGAGTTCCAAACATGATTTGACAGCTCATGGTACCAGCAGCTGTGTTGATGCGTCTACCTGTATAATTTTGTCATGGTATATTCGCTTAAATGCTTAAACCGACGCCAACGACATCTGTTGAATATAAGTTAGCATTCAGGTTTCCATATGCGTCATGTATGACAAAAGGTAGTCGTTAATCTTGCTAGAAAATAATATTAAAAAAGTTAGTGGAGTTGTTTTGATCGATGTGATTGTTTTAAGTGTTTAGTTTACCGGCGTTCGGTAATAAGTTATAAGTGAAAACAATTTAAGAACAAATTAAGTTTACTATTATTTCGTAGTTAAAAAGAAAAAAGAGATAAATAAAACTGCATACATGGACTTGCTTGTTAAATTATGGACACACTTGATTTTCTTTTGCCAATCAACACGAAGGGTAATCGGCAAAATCGTTTTAAATCGATATCAATGTGCGTCGAGTATGAGTCAATAACTTCAGAGATAAAGTTAAAATGTTGAAGTTTATATCAGTACCAGCATAGATAAATGAAGATATAGACAACGAAAAGTTTGTTTTGTCTTTTTATCCAGGTGGCACTTATCATGTTTTGGATACTCAACATGCTGATTTACGCGTTCAACCCACTCGACTTCGAAAACGCATTTTATCGTTTATCAAGAATTATCAAGTGAAATTTCCAAATGTTTCGATGTCATCACGTACTTTTCACATGTCTTTAATTATGGAACAATTTTCAACTGTTTTTGTTATTTTTAACGTTTTAGAATTGAGTGACTTCAATATTCTCACTCAAACCCCTGAAACGACATAGACGACATCTGCAGATCCGATATTTTCGAAGATAAACGGTGAGAGCATTTCGTTGTCTATATTTTCATTTGTCATTTAATGGATTGTGCAAATTCATTTGGAAAAACAATATACAGCTGAAATACGCACTGCCAATAGAAGAAAACACCATGAAAAGGAACTAGCAATTGATAACCGATAACTTAAGCTGAATACTTCGGGTATCGTACCAACTTATTTCTGACGAAGAAATCAATTACCGATTCTGAAAAAACGGGAAATCCCCGGAGAAATAACGGGAAATGCCCGGTAGAATAACTAATGTTGCTAGAAAGCAATGTTAAAAAAATCAGTGGCGTTGATTGTTTCAAGTGTTTAGTTTATAATATTAACCAAAAATATAGAATACGGTATGGTTGTTCGGTAGTAAGTTATAAGTGAAAACAATTTGAAGAACAATTTATATTTACTTTTATTTCGTAATTAAAAAGAAAAAAGAGGTGAATAAAACTGCATACGTGGACTTGCTTGTTAAATTATGGACACACTTGATTATCTTTAGCAAATCCTCAAAATTCAACACAAAGGGTGATCGGTAAAATCGTTTTAAATCGATATCAGTATGCGTCGAGTTTGAGTCACAAATTGTGTACATGAGCATCCACTAAGCTAATTATAAAATAATGAAAGAGATATTCTAAAGAGAATTTTTCTTGCATTGAATTTTAATTCATTGATTAATTTTTAAGTGGAAATATAATTAAAATAAGTTCAAAAATAATTTTACAAAAACAATTGTAGAAAAATTTTAATATATATATTTGTTTGTTGATGTTTTACTTATGACAGAGAATAAGAGAGACAACGCTAGCGTTCATACTTGCCCATCTAATTTCAATGGCGACGTGAGCAGTGTTGCCGAAATGGACAAAAAAATAAATAAAAAATGTATAAGAAGTTAGCCAGATTTTGGGTATTTCCCCAATGTGTTTGCCCATTTTTCGTGAATGGAAGAAAAACTAATATCATTAATATTAACATAAAACAGTGAACATTTAACATACAAAAAGAAGTATCAACATTACAAAAAAAAAAAGAACATTGCACAATTGTTAAAATACATTACAAAGACTTTCTACAACATTCAACAAGAATGTGTAGAACAAAATTGTACAAAAAAAACACATACACAATAAAATATAAATAAATAAAAAATGCTAAAGCTTGTATTTAAAAACTTAAAATCTAATGAATTAAAACATAAAGTCTACAAAAATAAAAATCTAATGAACTACAATCTAGAATATATTATACAAATCTTAAATCTAGTTATCCTAAAATCTAAATTGCACTACCACCATAAAAACTAATAAAAAAAGTTGAAATAAGTAAAATAAAAACCATTTATACATTTGTCATAATTTGAAAAAGGCTCAAAAGGTAAAAAAAAGTTTAAAAACACCATCATTTGAAAAAGTGTAAAGAAATGTCAAAACGGCAACACTGATGTGGTGGTGTTTGTTCGATCTGATTTAATTGTTTACTGAGTAGGCTTTACTCTCTTTATTTTCTTTGAAAGATGGGCAAGCCATAGACAAATGAAGATATTTTCATTTGTCTATGTATAACCATAGACAAATTAAGATATAGACAACGAAAAGTTAGTTTTGTCTTTTTATCCAGGTGGCTCTCATCATGTTTTGCGTAGTCAACATGCTGATTTACGCGTTCAACCCACTCGACTTCGAAAACACATTTTATCATTTTTCAAGAATTTCACTTTATTATTCCGGAATTTTTTGATATTATCACGTACTTTTCACATTTCTTTTATTATGGAACAATTTTCAACTGACAAATATCTTACAGTTTTTGTTATTTTTAACGTTTTAGAATTGAGTGACTTCAATATTCCCACTCAAACCCCTGAAACGATATAGACGACATCTGCTGATTCGATTTTTTTCGAAGATAAACGGTGAGAGCATTTCGTTGTCTATATCTTAATTTGTCTATGGTATAACATAGACAACGAAATGCTCTCACCGTTTATCTTCGAAAAAAGTGGGTATATTGAAGTCACTCAATTCTAAAACGTTAAAAATAACAAAAACTGTATGATATTTGTCAGTTGGAAATTGTTCCATAATAAAATAAATGTGAAAATTACGTGATGACATCAAAAAATTCCCAAATAATTAAGTGAAATTCTTGAAAAACTATAAAATGTGTTTTCGAAGTCGAGTGGGTTGAACGTGTAAATCAGCATGTTGACTATGCAAAAGATGGTGAGAGCCACCTGGATAAAAAGACAAAACTAACTTTTCGTTGTCTATGCCATAGACAAATGAAAATATAGACAACGAAATGCTCTCACCGTTTATCTTCGAAAAAAATCGAATCAGCAGATGTCGTCTATATCGTTTCAGGGGTTTGAGTGGGAATATTGAAGTCACTCAATTCTAAAACGTTAAAAATAACAAAAACTGTAGGATATTTGTCAGTTGGAAATTGTTCCATAATAAAATAAATGTGAAAATTACGAGAAGACATCAAAAAATTCCGGAATAATCAAGTGAAATTCTTGAAAAACGATGAAATGTGTTTTCGAAGTCGAGTGGCTTGAACGCGTAAATGAGCATGTTGACTATGCAAAACATGATGAGAGCCACCTGGAAAAAAAGACCAAACTAACTTTTCGTTGTCTATATCTTAATTTGTCTATGGTCTATGCTTATGCCCTCTCACAGCATGAACGACATCTATTGAAGCACTTTTTCGAAGATAACAGATGAGACAGCTTTTTAGTCTATATATTTATTTGTCTATGGTATAATAGAGCTGTATCATAGACAAATGAAAATATAGACAACGAAATGCTCTCACCGTTTATCTTCGAAAAAAATCGAATCAGCAGACGCATAGACAAATGAAAATATAGACAACGAAATGCTCTCACCGTTTATCTTCGAAAAAAAAAATCGGATCAGCAGATGTCGTCTATATCGTTTCCAGGGTTTGAGTGAGAATATTGAAGTCACTCAATTCTGCAGGATATTTGTCAGTTGTAAATTGTTCCATAATAAAAGAAATGTGAAAAGTACGCGATGACATCGAAAAAAATGGGAATATTCCAGTGAAATTCTTGAAAAACGATAAAAAGTGTTTTCGAAGTCGAGTGGCTTGAACGCGTAAATGAGCATGTTGACTATGCAAAACATGATGAGAGCCACCTGGAAAAAAAGACCAAACTAACTTTTCGTTGTCTATATCTTAATTTGTCTATGGATGTATAGTTCTCGAACAAAAGGAGAATATGCATTTATTTTAGTGGAAAGGTGTAATAATGAGAACCCGTTAATACGAACTTAATCTTAACTTTTCCTAAAGTAAGGGATAATAAAACTGTACTATAAAGAAAATATATAAGAACGGACCAAATATATTTTTTGGTATATATAAAGGAAATTATTAAATTGTCAATGTTTAAATTGCTTAATTTTGTAATTTGGAATGCTCTACGTAATTTGGTAACATTCATTAGTGTTTAGGGGATAAAAAGGTCGAATTAGAGGTAACGCTGTTGAATTTCTTAAAAATCGAAAATTTGAAAAACATGCAATGAATGGAATTTCTATCGATCTATATATTTCTATGGTCATATATAAGTCTAAATCAAATCGGCACTAAACTGCAAAAACAGCTTAACTCCACATCTTTGTTCAGAATTTTCCTGTCCTCGAAGAAACAGTAGTGCCGAGTACAATGAGAGTAATGGTGCAAATGTATTTAAAACCAGATAATCCTCGTAATTTGTACAGTATCGTACAGGTACAGGCCTATCTTCGAACTTAACCAGTCTAGGATTAAAAATGCATATGTGCATGTCAAATTTGCGCCTTTGAGCCGATGTTTGTTCTGTCCATATAATGTATCCCTTTGTTTGATTTCAGGATGCCAAAATGGACATCGTGCCAACTTTGCCACTACTAGATCGGCCCTGCTTAGTTATTATCGAACAGCCTGACAAATTTCAGAAGTTCATTTATAGGAGCCAGTCTAACGATAGCACCTCACTGCGATGCAAATTCATGTTAAGTACTCAACCACTGCGGGAAGTTTACATATTGTGCGATGCGTATACGGAAGACAACAAATTGTCATCACATTTCCTTGTCCCCCGAAGCTTTGATCCTGATAATTTCCCACCAATTCATATACTTCAAATCCCATCGAGCGATGCAAATTCATTAACAGGCGTTCTTTTGGAGAACGTGCACATTTTTCGTAGACCGCGCAAGAAGTTGGAACTGAGCTTAACAGCAAAACTCCAATTCAAACGTTTGTGGAAAACACGCCGGGAGATATTGACCGACGACGAGAAAGAGAAACTGCGTGGCTCAGTTCCTTTTGACCCTAGTGGCTCCAATCAATCATTCGGAAAGGTATGTATATTGAAACCCAAATAAAGTTTCCACTGTATCTGCTGAATAGGGCTTATTTTGGCCTAAACCTAAATTCAGTGGCATATTTTTTAAAGCATTTCGACTCCGAGAGCGAATTTTCTCCTCTACTTATTGGAAATAAGCATGAGGAGCCCCCTTTTTCTTTTTCAACACACCTACATGAGACTTTCTCTGTTTTAATCATAGGTCTACATTGGATTTACCGCTTACACTTACAACAATAACAGCAACCGGATGGAAAGATATACCGATACCTACTTTTCCGCTTCAATTTACGACTCAGATAACATCAACGTCTTGGAGCCATATAATGGTTATGTTGAAGGCGGATCGGAACACATATTGGTGATACGAGAGAGGTGTATCCATGATAACCGATTTGACATTGAGTTTCAAGGTGATTGTGGCTGGCGTGCTTTTGCCACGGAAGTCAGAGTTGATGGGAGTCGCATATCGTTTAAAATACCACCTTACAACGGCTATTGGAGAGACGGCGACGATTCAGTTTTAGTTCATATCCAACTACATTGCTGCAAAACGTGTAAAGCGCGGAAGCGATTCAAGTTTTTGTATGAGCAAAGTAAAGAATATTCTCATCTACTCAATTAATATGAATTCAACATCGTTATGGAGAACGGTAGTATTGGTTCCACCCTCCTTTTTTCATACAATTTTGTACAAGTTTTAATTATTACTATTTTAATTTCATAAATAAATGTTAATTTTTTCGTAAGTTTTTTGTCTGAAGGCACCAGCAGCACATGCAAAGCTCTTCTGTGCAGCTCCGATTAGGTTGAGAGTATAGAACAAGGTTCCTGCATTATTTCCTGGATTTTTGCCTCGGGTATTTCGACGTGATTCGCCAGCAGTGTGTGGCGGATTCCACTGTGTTTATTGCCACTTGATCGGGTTTGTAATATGAATTCAACATCGTTGTGGAGAACGGTAGTATTGGTTCCACCCTCCACGAATTCGGCCTAAAACAAAATTTGGGAAAAGTTAGCCGAAAGCTTGCAGCGTTTGAAATTATTGCTGGCCCTTAATCGCCGTCGACACCAAAAGTTGTACAAAGAAAAGAGAAAATCTTGGGGACCACGTCGATAGAGGCCCTCTGGTACTAATACGGACAAGAGGGAGGAAAATAAATAGTTACCGTGTCTTGGCATAGTTCATCGTTGATATACAGATTCAATGTGTCCAGTTCTAGCATTATCCTATATTGGATACCGTTAATCGTTGTCACCCACAGACGATATTGTTTTGACTGCTCATCGGTGTATTGGTCGAGAGATTTGCCATCAATATATAGCAAATATTCGTATCTGAAGCCCGGTGCCGGATCTACTCGTATAATGCAACGGGCCTGATCTATGTAAAAGGTGTCCTCACCGACAAGTTTAAACATCCAGTCACGCCTTAAGACTTCCTATTTGGAAAAGGTTAATGTCAGCGGTATTGGGTGCATTTAATATGGGTTTGGCTCCTTATTACGATAGTCGAATGTGGCATTCGACTGATGTCGAAGTTGTTGTCGGATCTTTTTTTGGAAAACTGCACTGAAATAAGTTCCAATGCTCATATTCGAAACTGATTTATAAATTACAAACAAATTTTGAAGTCCTAAACAATGGGTCGACGGCTATGCATTCGGGAATAACAAATGTTTTCTCCCACATGCGTCGAGTTTCGACAACGGCATCGGCCACCGTAATAAGGACGGCTGTCACCTTTCCATTGACCCAGATCATGCGTCGACCACTGGTCGTACCATGCTCCAGTTCGATGCGATACATTTTGCCATTGATAGGCGCACACCACTTGGCCACAATGTTGTTTTTGTTGTACCGTTTTTCCTCAGGCAAGTGATCCAAGCTCATTATTGGCTTTGTAGACAAATTTTCTAATCTCAGCGACGGAGAAAGAAATGACATGTCCCATGCGCCTTCTAGATCTGAAAGAACAGAGGTAGATGTGATGAGAGTAATTTCGGGGACAAGGCAGTGCTAGAGAACATTGTCTGAACTTCAAATGCCCCTCCCAAACAACCCATTGGTGTAATTCAGCGACTGTGTTAATTCCGCATTGTCTTAGTCGCTGCATATTTCATATGTCCATTAATTAATTGAATAGTGAGCAATATTCGGTTGCCCAAGGAGTGGACGGACAGGACGGCTTTACCCAACCCCATGTTCAAAGAACTCATCCACCATTGCAATACTCGCTACGACGCTACTACACTCTCACAAACACTTTTAGGAGTTGTCGTCGGTGCACTTCTTAAGGCCTAGACAAGACCTTTCACTGTTCTCCATTCACCCAACTCACACAAAGCTTGAGGTCGCTACGAAAAAAGACACAAAGCGAGACAAAATAAGTGTTTGCCGTTACGGTGCTAATAAAATACTAAAATAAAGGACAACACAAAATTCGTAGGAATCGCTTGTAAGCTTCACTGCTATGGATTTACGATAGCCAGTCTGCCAGCCAAATGTCGACAGACATGGTGGAGTAGTCCCCGAGCCGGGGCGCCAAATGCCATGGCAGTATGGCTGGCGACATTCGGCCACCCACCACTCTTCGTGTTGTTGTTAAGGGGATCTTAACAACGTGTGAGTACAACCATATATGTATGTATGCATGTATGTATGTGTATATCTACATATACATATATGTGTGTATTTCAATTCATTGTCGTTGGGTGGAGAATTCAAGGACTGTGCCCACGACTGATGAGAAAGTTGATGTACAACTCTCCGCTTGTCTGTTTTCGCTTTGAAGTCTGACAAACTATAATGCTAGGAACACAATTGGAGCGAACGACGAATTTTTTCGCGGCGTATGTTCGTCGTCAAAAATAAAACACATATGTGTATATGGAAGTGCACACAATCACGGCACCGGCGAAAATTTCGTCGGTCGCCGCGAACTCAATTAGCTTTATTTCTATTTCATACGCCGGCGACCGGCGAACAAAACAGTACAAGGTGGCCATACTTGTACGAATTTTATGTGTTTTAGTAAATAAAGTTACTTTTTACTTTAAAATTTGTTATGGTCACTCTACTATCTGTTATTCGTATAAAAAAACATAAATAATTTGTTTATTTATTTGTGCACTTGCGCCTGAGTGAAGATGGATATCAGTGAATTTATAATAGAAAAGATGGACATAACTGAAATTATAAAGAATTATGAGTTCTTGTATAATTTTCATTGTAGTCAACAAATGAGCAAAAAGTAAACAACTTCATCAGCTGTTTTATAATTTCGTCGGTATTGTGTTCCATACGACGAATTTTCGCGGCTCATTTTGTCGCCGCGTAGGGCGAAATTCGTCGTTCGCTCTTATTTATTTGTGTACTTGCGCCTGAGTGAAGATGGATATCAGTGAATTTATAATAGAGAAGATGGACATAAGTGAAATTATAATAGAGAACGTAAAGAATTATGTGTTCTTGTATAATTCATTGTAGTCAACAAATGAGCAAAAAGTAAACAACTTCATCAGCTGTTTTATAATTTCGTCGGTATTGTGTTCCATACGACGAATTTTCGCGGCTCATTTTGTCGCCGCGTAGGGTGAAATTCGTCGTTCGCTCCAATTGTGTTCCTAGCATAAGTTTGTTATAGCGTTGGAATTAGCTACAATAACCCAGCAGTGTCGTGCCTATGCCAGACGTTTTTCTCAAGATTAAAATCAAGATGGGAGGAACTCTTAACAAGTAAAAAACATTAAGTTCGCCCGGTCCGAACTTTTAATACCCTCCACCATTGGGTAAAGCAAAACATTTTTAACTACAAATAACAGTAAGACCCTTTGGATAATGCTGTTAAACTTTTCAAAAAACCATGAAGTGGGTGGGGCCGTTATATGGGGGCCATACTAAAACGGAAACCTCTATAGACAATTTTCAACTTCAAGGATTGTTATATTCTTAAATACCAATTTTGAAACCATTTCGTGGGTACATATGACTAGGATTATCAAAATACCGAATATCGGTGGGTATCGTTATATGTGCGCTATACGAAAACGTGGACCTATACATACTATGTTCCTCCACAGGAGCTAGAACCCATTACAAACTAGAAATACCAATTTTTAGATAAATCCGTTAAAAAAGTGACAAAAATCATTAAAACATCCAATATAGCGAGGTAACGTTGTATGGGGGCTATACTAAAACGGGGACTTATAAATACAATGTTTCACCAATGCTAGAACCCATTATGGCTTACAAACACCAATTTTTAGACAAGTCCGTGAAAAAAATGTGGCGAAAATACTGAATATCGGGAGGTAGAAATAATGTGAGCTATATCGTGATTTCAACATACAGACTGACAGACAGGCGGACATCGTTAAATCAACTTAGAATTTTATGCCGATCATGAATATATATAATTTATGGGGACAAAGTTAATATACCCTCCTTGATGTTATTTCAAATTGACATGTAAAGTTTCCTGAGAAAAACACTTCATTCCCACAAACTAAACGTTTCCTTTCCATAAAAATTTCCCCATTTGTTTTGAGAAAAAACTCACATACAACCTGTGATGGAATAGGGTCACCAGAAGAAAACAAATGCTTTTAAGGTTTATTCTACCTCCTATCGTTGCACCGTGGGCACCTTTATACTTTCGATTGAACTGGGCGTGTGTGTGAGGAATAAATGGAGGCGACCGACTTAGGAGGTGAAGTATTGATTCGTGAACAACCAACTATGTATGGGGCTATAGGAAAACGTGAACCTATGTAGAAATATTTCTGCCCTTTTCTAAATACCAATCTTCAAACGATTCCTTTGGAGAATGTGGCTAAAATAATCAAAATTCGGAATATTTGCCTTGTATCCGAGCATATCACGTTAGGCAGTAAGAAAAACAATCGACCCAGTGGTACAAAAATGCTGATGCAAGACAATTGATTATTGTGTAAATGCCAGGTTAGTCTTGCAACGGTATTCGGTCCCGATTACAAAAAAACGACTGCAATTCATTGGACAACACAAACATTCTTACTTCAAAGGCATTAAAGTCTATGTACATATGTTTGTATGTATGTGTAGCACGACTGATTCCAAACCTACCTCTTTCTCGCCATGCACAAACAACACATCAATGGCAATGAGCTATGAAACTACAAGGCGAACCGTCAGCTGTCTTATCATCGTCATACTTCGTCACCAAATTGTTCAAATTTCATGGTCAAAGTTATTGAACCAATAACAAATGGCAAAAATACTCATAACTGACTCCAACACGTCGCACAAAATAATTAGTTATTGTGTGCGACAATCCCGCGTTGCAGTACTGTGCAATCAATGCTCCCATTTTTTTTTTCAAAACTTTAATTAGGACGATGGCTCAACCAGAAAGGTTGTTCAACTTAAAGAAACTAGGAAAAATGCAACTCTGTACAGGAGTCTTACAATGTCAAATAGACTTTTAAATATACAACAATTGATTTTGTTTATTTTACATTTCTTTTTCAAAATTGTTATATCTTGAAAAAATCACATATTATATTATATTACATTACATTACATTACATTACATTACATTACATTACATTACATTACATTACATTACATTACATTACATTATATTATATTATATTATATTATATTATATTATATTATATTATATTATATTATATTATATTATATTATATTATATTATATTATATTATATTATATTATATTATATTATATTATATTATATTATATTATATTATATTATATTATATTATATTATATTATATTATATTATATTATATTATATTATATTATATTATATTATATTATATTATATTATATTATATTATATTATATTATATTATATTATATTATATTATATTATATTATATTATATTATATTATATTATATTATATTAATTATATTATATTATATTATATTATATCATGGTACAATGAAGAGAAGGTAGGTCAACTTTGAAAAAATTGCAAGTATAGATGTCTACCTGTTTGGCTTGTAATGTCAGAAATAGTATCAAAACAATAACAAAATCAAACAACTTGTTGCATTTATTTTGAATAAATAATTGAAAACCGCGAAAACTTAATGAAAGGTCCACACTTCTTTTCAAAACCAGGTTCTATATATCTCTAAAGGATTATTTCGCTACAAAAACTCTAGATTTTGTTGATGCATACAATGAAATAAACATTTTGAAAACATCCGAATTTGAATGTTTTTTTTAATTTCTTTTTGTTATTGAAAAGAAAACACACACATAAACAAAAAAAGATGACATATTAAGCCAAGAAAATAAAAAAATTGAAATCATATGGCATCATAGCCCTACCTTGATATCATTGTACCATGTATTATATTATATATTATATTAGCCATCTGGATAAAAAGACAAAACTAAATTGTTCGTTGCATATATCTGCATTTGTCTATGGTCTATACCTTCATTTGTCTATGCTCTCTGTCTCAAATAAAATAAATTGGCAACGTGGCTGCACAATTTCACCTTCTTTTATATTCTCTTTTTATGCCAGAAGCCATAGAAAATATTGGCAACGAAAAGTTAGTTTTGTCTTTTTTATCCAGGTGGCTCTCAGCTTTTTTTGCAGAATCAGTATCCATTACGAACTTCAAATACCAAATTTTAAACAATTCCGCTGAATAATGTCGCTAAAATCAAAGCACCGATTATCGGGAGGTACTGTTATATATGGGCTATACCAAAACGTGGATCTACATGACCCATTTTCAATACCAAAAGTCCTGCAGACATAATATACATTTGAGCTTAGACAAATAAGGGAATAGACATAAAAGTTTTAAAATTTTCCCTTCCGGCAGATGTCACTATTGTTGATCTTAGGACAGTCAAGTCACTCAGGGCTAGTGAAGTCACTCGACTTCGAAAACAATTCATTCATTTTTCTGCTATTTAAGTTCTATATTTTTATATTTCACGACATATTTGGATAATGCAAAAGTTAACAAAGTCGATGTTTCGTTTTTAATTGATAAATAATAAAGAATAATAAAATATTTAATATTTTGCATTTTGAGAGAATTGAGTGAGTCTACTGAACCTCTCTCACAGCATGAACGACATCTATTGAAGCACTTTTTTCAGAGATAACGGATGAGACAAATCTTTAGTCAATACCTAATTTGTCTATGATTTGAGTAAAATTTTATTAAGCTACTTCATTTCGTTCGGAAGCTAGAGTGATTTCCACAGACGGACGGCTAAATCCATGGTACAATAAAAAGGTAAGGTAGAGCTCACAGCTGATTACAATTTTTTTTCAAGTGTGCCCGACTTTTGCCAATTTTGTGTATGTATTTGTTGTTTTGAAAAATAAAAACAAAATATTTTCAAAATCAATCATTGGAGGGGCGCGAATTAATAATATTAACGAGATTTACCATGGAATTGAAAGATTGAACACTTAGTATCATATTTTTGAGAGAACGCCCAGGCATTTCATTCATCTTTCGCTCTATTTGACTTATTTTGGAAATGAACAAAAATATCAAATAAATGGAAACAGTTTGTTGCTCAAAATTTTGAATAATTCTGACAGGAAGCGGGCATAGCCTGTATTTCTACAGTTTTACGAAGCTGTTCTACCTCCTTATTGTACCATGGCTAAATCGATTTAATGCTGATCAAGAATATATATTCTTTGTGGGATCTAAAATGTATATTTCGAGGTGTTACAAACGGATTCACAAACTTAATATACCCTCCATACTATGGTGGAGG